AATTTTGAAAAAATAAGAAAATAAAACTAAATTTTTATTCATGAGAAGTAAATAATATGTGTAAATTAATAAATTTTTGACAAAGTATAATTGATAGTTTTTATAAAGAAACTAACTGATAAAATATAATGTTTAAAATTTTATATATATGTTAATTTTTTAAAATTTTAATTCTTTTATCTAAATAATTTAAAATAATTAAGGAAATAGGATTTTTTTAAATAAATAATTTAGGAAAATTATTAATATATAAAATTATTCGTGTTAAAATTATTAATATATATAAAATTATTTTTATTAAAATTATTCCTATTCTCATAAATTTTAAATAAGAATTAAAGACTTCTTTAAATGTGTTGTTTGTATAGGTTATGTTTTAACTCTAATTATGTCTTAGTCTTCTTTAATTTTTATCTATATAAATATCTTAAGTAAAAAATACTATAATAAGAAGTTTTAATATTTTCTATTCAATTTTTTCATCAAAATTAAATTTTTTCTTTATTTCTCCATGTCTCAAATTTTGATTGGATAATGATTCTTTATGAAAATAAAATAGCTAGTTCAAATATATTAATTCAAACAATATTATTACTATTATTATTTTTTATTTTCTTATGACAAACTCTTTTTGTAATGGATAATGCAACAACTTTAAGAAAATTAGAATATAATCAGCCATTTTATTTCATAAACTTTTGACTTGATTTAATTGCCATTTAATTCTAAAAATATAGTATTAAACAATATAACAATGAATTATGACTTTTTGATAAGTTTTATTGCATGTTTATAAAAAAAACTACATTATATAACAATTTCATATAAGTAATATATTTTAATATTTTAATTGTATTTTTCAAAAATAATAATACAAAAAAACAACAGATATAAAAAATATTCATAATAATACTATTAGTTTAAACATCTAATTTAGAAATGTTGCCAACAAAAAAAAAAAAAAAAAAAAAAAAAAATCTTAGTTTTATCCTAGATTCTAATTATTTTAGTAAGTTGGTAACAAAAAACCAACTTTTATAACTACTTTTAATTTTTATTATTTATTTTTGTCTAATATACTTAATCAAATATAAATTTTTATCACAAGTATTACTTTTAATTTAAACAAGTAATATAAAAATATAAAAATAAATATCTAGTATATCATGTATTCTAACAAATATAAATTTAAGCTAAAATTTGAAATTTAGGAGAATAATAATAATTTTAATTTATTTATATTTCTATTTTAGAATATCAACATAATGTAATTGATTTAAAAAATAATTACTAATAAAATAAAAACAAAAACTATATTCTTATTACAATATTCAATTGTTTATATCAATGAAAATGTTTAAAACATTTAAAAATATTTCTAAAGAGATACGAAACTAAATAAAAGAAAATAGAAAAAAAAATTACATAAATTATTTTCATGCTCAAGTTCTTCTAATGTAGGTCATTATCCATAAATCAGTAAAATAATTGTTATATATTGAAAGAATAAGGAAGTATTTTTAAACTCATATTTATAAGATAAATAAAAAAAAAAGGGTATTGAGCTTAAAATTCAAGATTGCCCCTAGATAGTTTTATTTGCATTCTTAATCTCTATTTAATTTTTTTATATTATGTATTACAATTAATGCATAAAAAGTAAGACAATATGTGTTCTATATTACTTAATGTAAAACATGTTTGTTGATATCCTACAATATGAAGGCTTATCTATTTTGAATAATACATGTTTTTTTTATCTGCAATGTATATGTATGGAAGTATATTGTTTAAAAAAATACACCTTAGACATAAATACTTAAACATTTCAATCTTCTACATAGATATATGTATTCCAATCAAGGTGGAGATTGTGCAATGTGCCCCAAATCCAAATCCCTATTTTTCATATACAATTGCAAAGTTTTCTAGCTATTGCCAATTGTCCTTCCAATGCTTGCATTTTAGCATAATGTTCTTTTAGGGGATCAATAGAATGTTCCCAATGTGGTGTTCCGAGTTATGTTTTTCTTCAAATAAAATGAGGGGAATATGATTTTGTTTGCCTGGCTCCTAGGCAACACATGATTTCTTGTTCTCCGGAATGTGGATAGAAGAGAGTACAATGTGAAGGAGAATACAACAAGATTCTAAGGTCTTGAGAATGAGAATTGTCTTGCTCTTTCTCAAACCACATGCGTTGTGGATGTCTTTGTCGTGTATGCAAACGAAAAATCCACAACCAATGTTGTGTATTGTAAAATGATTCAGTAGCTAAATGACTCTAACAATATATTTACTTTATTTAGGTTCCCTCTAGTTAGTATATACACACATACATACATAGTAAACGAAATATAACACTAAGCAGGCAGGAAAATTGCAAGGTGGCAGGAGAGGCAGACATAGATGAAACAGAAAAGCATCGAAAGAGACCATCCAAGTGGTGGTGTGGGCCCGATATGGACCCACCTCCGTAGAAGAGACGAAGAAACCGGCGATGCGGCACCACCACATCAGGCGACGCGAAGAGAGTGGAGATTGAAAAATGGGGAGGAATCAGAAACAGCGTCCCTCCCTCACTCCCAATTGCAACACACCATGCGCACTCTGCGAGAGCAAGAGAGAGTGTCCCGGACTCACACTCTTACTCCCTCCCTCGCACGAGCATTCCATTCCCTTTGCGATCCCCCCACTTGCTTGCCCAGGTGGGTCAAACGTCGGTGCCCCGCCCCCTACAACAAACAGCCGTCGCTTCCGCACCAGGGTCCTGAGCCAACCAATTCAAGCAGGTCCCCCGTTTCCTCGCCTTTCTGGTGACCCCACCCTCTCTAGGAGTAAAAATCAGGAAAAGCAAATAGAGATGATTGATTCTTCCTACACAGAAATCATTAATCTCATTCGCGGGAATGCAACGGTCGACACTCGCCTCCGCACATCGATTCCGACCATAGATTTGTACTGGCGCTGAAGAAGTCAATAATGGCGGCGAAGTGGGTTACACTGACCGAGCGTCACGAGTGGCCTGCAAACGGTGCGAGAAATATTCGTAGAACTTGACCTCAAAAAACGAGTTGACAACCACCCTTGGCACGTTGCTTCGCTCATCATCGGAGTAGAGGCTCCAATCGACGCCCGAACTTGACTCCAGCTACTCATGACAAATTGCGAGAGTTTCATCCACCCTACTGAGGCTCGAGATCCACAGCGACAACATTCCCTCGTTTTTCTGTTTTTGTTTTTTGTTTTCTTTTTCTTTTTTATTTGTATGGTTATCATTGTAATTTTCTTCCGAAATGCCGGAATCCGCGAATGAAATCTCACGCCGCTAAAATCTATCTGCCAAGTATCCAATGTACGGCGAGGAAAGATGTGCGAATTCCGGCAAATGGAGGAGAACCCTGAGAAGATTCGGGAGAGGTGCGTGTTGCAGATGGTAGCAAATCTCGGGTGCCAGTTCGCAAAGCCTGCACTCTCCCCTCCATTCGGTCAGCTTTTTTGTGCTCATCTCCTCCCTTCTTTCACTATCAGGGATGGTATCTAATTAAGCACCTCGTGCTTTGTATTCTGACGCCCTGCAAGTTGCATTTCCCTGCCTTCGAGGTCCACAATCATCGTCTTCAAACTGGGTTCACTAGTTCACCTCCTCGTCGCCCAGAACGCGTCATCACGACATTCCCCAGGCACCCATCACCCCTGCCACTCCTATAACCTCCCCCTTCTTAACATCCTGGTGTCTTTCCATTTATCACAACAAAGGCCTCATGTTCTTCATCTATTTTTGCATCTGAATTGTTGACGTGCTCGATCGGCGAATATTAATCGTCGCGGAAGAATTCGAACAATAGGAAGTAGTCATTTAACAAAACATCGTACACATGAATATGTGATGGTTTAAAACACTGGATCGTGTCACATAGATTGGACTCATAAATGCCTCCGGATCCCTCACTCGAAAGTATTCTCATAACAACACTACAGAATCTCCGAAACACTGTGTTCTTCGCTTTTATTTGCACCTCAACAAATCTGAGTTCACATTAATTTAGGGAGTTGTGCTTTACAGAACAAATCAAGGATGAAAGCAACAGAACGATGGACAGAGTGCTTTTTTTCCTGGTGGGTAGAATCTTCCTTCTGTCGAGCAGGTTACGTACGTGTTCGAGTAATACAAACAAGCATTCTGAATGGAGGTGGAATATTTTCGTTTTCGTCGTCTTCGTCGTCTTCGTCGTTTTCACACATTTGGGGGACTCCCAGAGAGTTTCGTTGCCGCGAATGGCGTGGCTTCAGAACTGTGGCGTCTGGCAAGTTCATGAAAATGGCGCTCAGGCGGAATGGAGTGCATGGGCCAATAAAATAAAGTCGCCACGCAAACGGGCGCTGGTTAGTACAAACTAGCGGACGCAAGTTTGCCTGCGAGGAGAGTATTCACACTCATATACACAGATACACAAAAATACACCCGCACCCATACACACACACACACTTGGCAACGAAGCGTTGAGTTCAACGTCATTGTAATGGTTAAAGGACTGAAAGCCATGTTAGAGGTAAACATGCTGCATGTTCAAAATGGCTGGTGAAGACATAAAAAAGAAAAGGCAGCCCCATTGTCTAGGGCAGATTCGACAACATGCGAGGACTGATGGATCTGGGGCGGTTCCCATTCATTGCCTCACGAGCCAACAACCCAACGAAGAGGTGAAGTTAGCTGGGAGGCGCAAATCAAAAGTAAAATAATGGTGGAGAAAAGGGAACGGCTGGAATTGGAAAGGGTGGAGGGTTAGTGAAGCGGATAGGAAGCCCCTGCGTCCCTTCTCTAAAGTCGAAGTTGATTCGGCTCAGGGATGATGAGTGATTCGCTGACTCTGACGCAGCGTGCAAATTTGGATGTTAGTTGGGAGCCCAGTATGAGAGTACCGAGGAAGAGAATTCGTTTGCCACCACAGGAACCTCTGAACTTCACTGCCCACCAAAGAAAAAGAAGAGCGCGAGAGGGAGAACATAAAAAAAGAATCCCTCGCGATGCTTCTCAAGCTCTCGATGAATGATTCCAGTCGCCCCAACCCCTCGTCAAATTCATATGTGCGAGCTAGATCGTCATTCTTGTTAAGCAGAGTGCAGCCTGGATTTCCCTCTGCAGCTCTCCTCAGTCTCTCATTCCCCAACTTGTGGTGAATGCAATGTCGTGTGCGAGATTATTGAGAGTTGCCAGTGAGTGTGTGCATTGGTTTATGTGATTTTGGAGTGCATTGGAGTGTTTCGAGATGGTAATGTAGAAGTGTTTGTGATTTGGACGTCGAGTTGCGACGTTTCAAAAGGAGTGAGAGTGGGTTTTAGGTTCGGGACTTGGAGCTTCGACAATTGTCTATTGTTTTGAGATGGCTGCAGGGACAGCGTGCGTGTATACTAGTTGCAGCTCTATTAAGTGTGTCCAGGAAGGCTGTGGCCGCACATGGCAGCAGCTGAATGTGGCTACTATTCCATCGCTGCCCCGATCTGCATTCTGCGGGAAGAAGCTTGCATCGTCCCTGAAAGCCCAGGCGTGGTTGCCTGTAGCTCCTCTCAAACGCCGGAATGACTCCAAGCATGCTCTTAAAGTTTCGTCCGTCTTGATGGAGCCCCGACCGCTTGAAAATACCATCGTAAATGTAGGAAATGTTTTTAGTCACCAAGCTCGTTGTCGATTAGAATGTGATTAGTACAACACGTCGTAGAGTTGTGATTAGTTTTTTTATTAAGTCTTGAAGTCTTCATTCCGTCTCTCTGTTTCTACGTTTGGATGTTGTTCCTTGGATAACTGCTAGTCCACTTGAACGTTTAAAAAATAGCTATACACCATAACCGCTGGTGTAACGATGGCCACGGGATAAACGCTAACAAATGCGTCAACTCTACTTGCTGAATTTAATCAGGAATCTATAGAGCCTTCGGTCAATCACCAGACTGCAATTCGCTGTCAAGGTGGTGATTTATAAAATAAAAAATAAAATAAATAAGAATTCGTTGAGCGCACCTACAAAAATCGTATGCAGACTACTAAATGAGAAGTGTCTGTCTGGCAGGTGGGTACGGGGGAGGAGAAGCGAGTTGATCCGAGAACGGTTCTGTCAATCATCCTCGGTGGTGGGGCTGGCACGCGTTTGTATCCTCTTACAAAGAGACGTGCCAAACCTGCTGTAAGCCCCTTAACACATCCTAGAATTTGTGTTTGCAAACTCTTCTCTGAAGCTTTGTCTTCTTCAATTTGTTGATGCTTGTTTGAAAACAAACTAGACGCATAGAATGTTAAAACCTCATTATAATTTTATTGACAGTGTGAATGAACCCTGGTTAGTGAAAACTCGTGACTGTAATTTTGTATGTATTGCAGGTGCCAATTGGAGGTGGCTACCGGTTAATTGATGTGCCCATGAGTAACTGTATCAATAGCGGAATCAACAAAGTTTTCATCCTCACCCAATTCAACTCCACTTCTCTTAACCGCCATCTTGCTCGCACCTATAACTTCGGCAAAATCAACTTTGGCGATGGTTTTGTGGAGGTCTTGGCAGCTACCCAGACTCCCGGTGACAGAGGAGCTGATTGGTTTCAAGGAACAGCCGATGCTGTTAGGCAGTACTTGTGGTTGTTCGAGGTACGCTCCTTCCCAATTTCAGTCTAGCTGCACTCAAATCACAGAATTCTTGCGTTTGAAGGGTTTGACCCACAAATTGTAAATACTCTTCATCTTTGCTTGTTGATTATTGTAGGATGCGAAGAATAAAGTTGTAGAGGACGTTGTAATCTTGTCCGGAGATCATCTTTATCGTATGGACTACATGGACTTTGTCCAGGTAAACCTCCAACCTTACGTTTGACCGTCTCCTATTTTCAACATTTTTCAATATGTGCTGCTCGATTTTCAACAGAGATGTCAATGCTCAAGTGATTGGTTACTAGGTCCTAGGATTCCGGAATTATGGCCGAGGCCAAGATGATGGCTAACTACAGGAATTCTGATATTGTTTTGTTTTTTTCATATAATAGAAGCATAGGGATAGTGGTGCTGATATCACAATCTCCTGCGTACCCATGGATGACAGGTATGCTGGTTATTCTTTAAGTTTCGAAGATGAAAAATAGATAATCAACTGCAGTTCAATGATGAATTTCTCCACGAGGGTCTGAATCTATTCATTCATCTCTTTCTCCCCTCTGTATTAGCTTCCTTGCTCCCTAATTGTCTACAAGTTTTTATTGGAATATTCTATCATGCGAAAACTACGATAGCTATTACCCTTAAAGTCGCTGGTTTGACCTGAGTGCTTCGATGAACTAATGCTTCTCGTTTACAACCTGCGATGCAGTCGTGCTTCAGACTACGGATTGATGAAGATTGACGGTGAGGGACGAGTTATGAGTTTCAGTGAGAAACCAAAGGGTGATGATCTGAAAAAAATGGTAAGTTCTCGTGATGTTTACCTATGAATTAATTCTGTATCACTTCGGATGCCAACACTTTATGAACTTGCAAACTCAAGTTTGCTTGGTCCTGTTTCCGATGTTATTTCGCACCGTGCGTATGCTACACGTCATATTCAAGTACAAGCTGCGTTGCATTAGAGGAGTACGAGTCTCCTAACTGGAGGTGATGTTTCGCAGCAAGTAGATACAACAATCTTGGGATTGTCGCCCGAGGAAGCTGCAGAGAAGCCCTATATTGCATCTATGGGTATTTATGTATTCAAGAAGGACGTCCTTATGAAGCTTCTAAGGTAAGCACCACTTGGCAGATTATCAACAGAACCTAGGTCGATCTGAATCTACAATAGAAACATATATATATATATATATATATATTTTTTTTTTGGAATTGTCTAGGTCCAAGATGTGGTTATAGCAGACGGATTTGTAGTATTCTGATCTCTCGGAGCATAGGGTACATGGATGATTAATTACTTACCGGTAATGCTGGTCTCGATGAGTTTAAAGTAAAGAATGTCTCATCCTTAGACAAAGATTTGTTTGATTACTGCAGATGGAGATACCCAACTGCCAACGACTTCGGTTCAGAAATCATTCCTGCTTCAGCTAAGGAGTTCAATGTTCAGGTACTCCTTCGCGAAGCGTGAGTCTGTTCTTTTGAGAGAGAGAGATATCTGAATTTAAAAGGATTAGGCTGTCATTGGCTTAGTGAGCTCCCGCTTTAGTAATTTTTCATTTCAGATTAAAGCAAGAACCCTTGTTACACATACATCCAAATCGCAGAAAAATCAACTTTTCAACTCTTATTAGATTACACTGACTGCCTAGAAGAGAGGACCAGTAACTCCTTTCCGTTTATTTCAGGCATATTTGTTCAACTCCTACTGGGAAGATATCGGAACCATAAAGTCCTTCTTCGATGCCAATTTAGCTCTTACTGCCCAGGTATGATCCTTCATTATTGATATGTATTCCAGTCCTGTGATTGAAGAAAGTGACTGTTGCTTTATTTCAGATGGTTAAGTTCTCGAGTTGGTTCAGGAAAATTGTTCAATGCGTAAGCGTGCGTGTGTGTCTATCTGCAGCCACCCCAGTTCAGCTTTTACGATGCTGCTAAGCCAATCTTCACATCGCCTCGGTATCTTCCCCCGACATCAATTGAACAATGCATGGTACCCATCCTCTTCCATGTGCATGAATAGTTGGCAATGGTACACTTGGTTTACAAGTAGTTTCCCGCATCTTCTAGGAATATACGTTTAAGATCGACTTGAACTATGTCCAGGCAGTCCAATACTCTCGGAGAGTTGAGGACTAATTTAGATTAACTTTGTTATTCTAAATTACTTGGTATATCTCACTCTGCTGTTGACTTTCCGATGCCAGTAGTGGCTTAAAATTACTAATTCGACTTTGTGAAGAATGTGGTTGCACGACTCTGAAGGTGTTTTGAAAGCGCAGGTTAAGGATTCTATAATATCCCACGGATGCTTCCTCAAGAAATGCAGTGTAGAGCATTCAATTGTTGGTGTTCGATCTCGTCTGGAGTCCGGTTCTGTCTTGAAGGTGAGATGTTGTTTGATTACCGAAGCAATTAAGCATAATTAAACACAATAAAATAAATTAAAATAACCTGATTTCATTTAGGTTTGCTCTTTCTACGCAGAATATATGTATCTTCGAGAAATTTGTATGAGTCATATGATATTTTGAGACTTATTTCCTGAGCCACTTGACTATCAGGATACGATGATGATGGGAGCTGATTTTTACGATACCGAGAAGGAAGTTGCAGATATGTTAAGGAATGGAAAGATTCCCCTAGGAGTTGGTGAAAATTCCAGAATCAGCAACTGCATAATCGATAAGAATGCCCGGATCGGCAAGAATGTTGTCATCGCCAACACTGACGTAAGATTTCGCTCCTGTCACTACTGTTGTGATTTATCTGCACTGCCGAAAGGTTTCTGATTCTGGTGTTCAACATTGTTCCCTGTTGAAGTACTTCAAATGAAATGTGGTATATGGTTGGACTGACTGCAGAACGTCCAAGAAGCTACAAGACCAGAGCTTGGCTTCTACATCAAAACAGGAGTGACGGTGATCGAGAAGAACGGGATCATCAAGGATGGAACTGTAATCTAATTCCGAGGAACGGCACAAACACTTGACTGATTTTACCAAGATGAAGAGCATACCATGTATCCTAGCAAGATAGCATCCCATAAGTTATCGTGATTAGCTCGACTTAACACGCAGATTTTAGAACACATTCATTTTGTACCTCATTTGCTTGTAGGAGAGTGACACTGGAGAGGTTTCTCTTTTCCTGTCAGGGTAAAGTAGCCTTTTAATCTAGCGTGGTGACAATACTAGTTCCAGCGGGATTAAGAGTTGACGTCGAAGCAGCTCATACTGCGTAGAAACATTGTCTCTAGATTCTCTGTACCATAGTATTCCATTTTAAATTCCTTACAATAGTCTTCATTACAAGCCGTCAAGTGCTTTTTTCGCTGGCATTCCACCTTTGAGATAGATCTGAAGGATGTTGCGCAAATGTCTGTAATATGGATGCTGCACTCTATCTTACTACAAGAAGAATAAACAAATATAGTAAGTGCAAATCTTACTCTAGTATCAATTTTCATAATTCCCACTTCAACATACGCAAACTTATTTTTATTCGTGAAAGAATGGTCTGTGTAGCTGTAATGAGTGAGTGATAGAACTTAACTTGTGTGGGACACGCTGGTGCAACAAACTTTACGATTCTTAACTTAGAGCCGTTACACAGTGCTTCAATGTGCTAGCTGTCCAGTGCATGAGACAACGAAGCTCGTATAGGTCAAAAATTGGACCAACGACGTTTCAGAGCTTTATATGTGGGCCTTGTTTTGACCCATCTGGAACAGGATGGGCTGTGGCGTGGGGCACTCGGCATTCAAGCAACCTACGTTCATTTGTCGCCAAGGATTGGCTTCAGTTTCGGAGTTGGGGCCGGATCCTCTTGGTGCCGATTGTCGAACCGAACATCCAATGTATGTGCAAACAAATCCATACTCCAAACTACCTCTCAGAATGAAACACCTATCGCAAAACAACAAAAACTGGTGCGTGGAATCAACCCTTTCATAGCAGTTCGCAGAAAAAATGTACGCAGGACCCAGAGCTAGATTCTCTCTTTTTGGACCTCTAGCTTCTCCTTGGTGAAGAGGATTTGCATAATCACAGTTCTCTGGCACCATAGCTTCAGAAAGCTGTCCATGTGGAGTCAATTCATATGTGACTTGTGCGTTATCCACACAAAACTGAAGGTAGGCAATGGCTACTGATAGATTATATGATGGATGTATAAGTGGATCGACCGATAGATATTCCATGCGGGTACTTTACAAGGCCATAATCAGAGTGTGCATTATGGGAAATGTGGCTCCGAATCTCACCTGCTTGAGTTCAGATTCTATGCTTGAGTTCAGATTCTATGCTTGAGTTGTGCAGGCATTGCTTGTCAAGGATGCGATTATCACCGACAAACAGGTTATGTCGGTAGAACATGCAGTTCAGGGATAATCTCTAAGTTGAGCATCCAATGGCAGAAAACCAAAAAAATGTGACCAGTATGATAATAAGAAATGGTGTAATAAAAATAATAAGAATCAATAGACGTGTGAAAGTAGGAGATATGTTGGCAATAACTAGAATGGTAGTATTTCCTTTGAAGACCAAACATTATGGGGTTGATTAGACTTGATATCACCAAACATGTAATCCTACATGAGTTTGGTTACTAAATGAAATTTTGAAATACCACCTCAATAAGCTTTATACTTTTGTTAGTTCTTTTCTAATTGTGAAGAATCTATATGTGAGAATTTGATGGCAACATTGGAAAGTCTTTTACTATGATTCATTTATGAGAAAGCTTTGTTAATGATATGTATGAAAGAAAGCTTAGTTATAAGACAAAGAAATATAGTAGTCTTCTCATTTGCCAACTGATTGAGACAAAGAAGTTTTCTTATTGGCCAAAAATATATGTTGTCCTTTCACAATGTAAAAATGCATGTTGCCCTTTTAAGATGTAAAACATATGTTGTCCTTTTACAATGTAAAATTTCATGTTTCCATTTGACAATGCTCTTCTCCAACTATGCTCAAGATTCTTTATTCTTTATATGCATATAATTAATAAGTACCACTTTAAAGATATTGAACATCAAAAAGCTATAGTCCATCTTTAAAGTATAATAATTGGATGTTACACTTGCAAGTTTTATTGAATTTTTTTTCTATTCAATGTGAACCAGAGTATTTCTCAATATGTTTTTCAATAAAACATTTCATGTACATTATATATAACTAGTTTTGCAACGGGTTATTAATATATCCAAACTTTGGTTTAACTCTTAAATGATAATATAATATCTAATAACACCACAACTAAAACGTTAATTCAAATAATTAAAATAAAATATACTCAATATGTTTATCTAAATAAATAAATTCACATATTTACATATTTGTAACTAATTATTATTGATGTCATTGAATATATATATATATATATATATATATATGAATTACTTAAATATACATTCAATAATATTATAATAAGATTCAAATATGTTTATATTTGAAATGGTATATTTTGAAACTAATATAATTATGTTATAAATATATATATATAAATATATATATATATATATATATATATATATAGTGTAATCATACACATAACTTAAAGTGTAAATATTTCCATATTTTATTATAACTTACAAATATCTGGTGAAAAAATTAAAAAATGTGTTACTATTTTGTAATAAATTATGGTTGTTAAATGGAAAATTTACATCCAAAATAACTGTGTGCATATATGTCTATTTATTATTATTATTATTATTATTACTCAAATTATCTTATATTTTGTGTAGATAATTTAAAATGTTATTAAAAAATATTTTGGTTATTCAATGCAATATGAATATTAATTCAAAATATAAAAATTTGTAAGTACATTCCTTTAAATTTAATTAACATGTTTGTCAATTATATATATACTTTGCATCTTAAGAACATAAATATTTATTTATTTGATATTTCATATAAAATATGATGTTTGAAGGATTTTGCATTTTATGTTATTTGTTATTTTTGTGAAAATTATGGAAAATTAAGTCTTACACCTTGTGCATGTATATCGCTGTAGTCAATAAATTCATATTGGATAAGCGCTGTAATTTTTTCAGTGGTAAAAAATAAATAAATAAATAAATAAAATACAGATTATATATATTCTTATGAATGTGGTTGGTTTTCATAATTTGATATAAAAAGAAACCAAAACACTAAATTAAAATTTTAGGTAGCACCCAGCACAACTATAAAGTGTATACACACATGCATTTCATCCACCCAAATATCAAAGAATTGCAACAACTTAAACAAAAAGTAAAAATTCCAAAGAAATCAAAGACAAAAGCATCATGTCTTTGTGCATGACTTGTCTGTTTTCATCCCTTTTCCTGTCATTGGTTACCAGGGAATTGCTAATGCCACAACAATCCATTCTGCTGCTTATGGAACCAATTCCTTCACATTCCATAAAATTATGAGGAACCTTTCGAAAAGCTGTTTTCCATCGCTTTTGTTTGTTTGTTTGTTTCTTTGTTTGTTGTAGCTGTTGTTCGTGGTGGTGGTTTCGGTGTTGGCTTTTCGTGTGTTTGCAACCATCCAGCGATGGCTTAAGAGCATCACGGAAATCAAGCCAGAGGCTAAAAAAAAACCATAGAGCCTAAGTATACATGTGTGTGCCAGCCAGTCTACAAGCACCCAGCCAGCAAGGGAGCTTGCTAATTTAAGACTTTTCACCCTGCATTTTAATCCTCTTGCGCTGGAGCTTCCTTTGTCAGTGGCCATTCCGAGACCAAATCCCAACAAACAGCAGTAGCTGCACCAACCGAAGATCATCGTCCCACAGTGTTAACAGGGAGTCAGTCTCGCCGAAGGTTGCGAGACATGCCCCCCCCCCCCCCCCCCCCCATCACCCCAACTGTGGATCAGTCCACCGCATACATCGGCGCTGCCTCTGGGTTCTAGAACATCTCACCCAATTGGCTCCCGCTGTGAACACTCAATGCACAGATTTTTACACTGGAAACATGTCGCGTTTTCATTCATTTCTTGTGTTCATTCCTATTGTTTGCACTCCTTCAGGTTACAATGATTTGCACGGATTGTAATTTGATGCGCGCGTTTTACGGAATGTAAATTTTTTTGGGAGTCGTTCGATGTGATTATTGAAGCATAAGCACGGGCAGATTTGGTGTGACTGGTCTTGCAGATCTTCAGTGAGTAGAACCAGCGAGGAGCTGCAAACTTAGAAGTGTAGGTACCGTCGAATCTAGCCGAATAGATAGTTTTTAACGAAGTATTAGAAATTTATTGTTTCTTTCACACATGGAGATGTGATAGTGTGAGTGGGCCTGACAGATTTTTCGATTGTGCGAGAATATTCGACCATTCAAGATCGAAGGATATTTCAAGTAAAACACATATTCGACAAGCTTCGAGCAATGAGTTTCAGTGTCAGCTTCGGGATTCTTAGCAGGTAATTAATTCTAAGCGAGTTTGAAGACTGAAAAATATCTTCCAGTAAGTTTGACAGAAGTGCGATTCGGTGATTTTGGTTGCCACTTGTTTTCCAAAATAAGAATAGTAAATAAAGGTACTCGAATTTTGCATACTTCAATTGTTCTCCACAATATGCCTGATGCTATAAACATGTCGATCACAAGGTTTGTAATGCTCCAGGGATACGTTTCTAGGGAGCGCCTGAGGGACTGTGTCAATGGATGATTTGCTATAAACTGCCACAAGAGCGAGAAGATAGTGGGGCAGAGGGAGCACTTGCAGTTGACATCTAGGAGGATTCCTGCACCACGGAGCTGTCGTTCACTATTTTGGTCGACTCTATCGAGGTGACTTCGCTCTGCAGTCAACGACCGAAGAAGACCCAGTTAAACAACTGTACAGGGAAGACGCGAGGAGCAGTAGCGAAAAGCTGGCAAGTCGCAGTAACTTGCCCCCATTTTTCTCTCGTGCCTTACTCACATCACATGCTCATCCACCGCCTATTCCGACGGGCTAGATCTCATTTGGTTTTATCGATCGGCCCCAGGCCCGTTCAGGACCAGCACCATCGCTGCACTGTTTCGTCACGTCGAAGTGCGTCCGCGGCAGCACACCCACTTTGCTGTGGCGAGAGACATTAGATCGGTTGGTTGGGCTTGTTCGACTTGTCCGACCGGAGGACCGCCGGGCATGGGTGCAGGTCTGCAGAGAGCTTGTGCATGGGTGGAACTAACTAGAGCGCGTTGGAGCTGTGACTGCACTAGGCAGCTCCCGGGGCTCAGAGCGCTCCAGTTTCTAGTTGTGTCGTTGTGTGCATTGTACGCTTCATACCAAGTCTGGGGTGATTGAAATCTTTTGTAGTTGGGTATAGATCTGTTACTCGCACATCTGTCAACGTTCTCTGGAAGCAGTCAAGATTGACGATCATGGTGTTTACAGTGTTCGCTCCTGGTTCTGCTGTCCGAAGGACGAGGGGTGAAGGCGATGCAAGAAACGACCAAAGGGAAAGTTCGTTATGGCTATGTTTATGATCACGACCGCCAGCGCTCTTACAGTTCTGTTGCATTAGTCAGGGGTTCTCAGGGGGTGTCTGCTCAGCGACGACGTGAGAAGGTTCTGCATCATGAAGGAGATGTTGGTCGGGGCACTCGTTTGGTCAGTATCCATCGCACTGGTTTCCGGCAGAGTTGGTGGTACATTCTTGGGAGTCCTCCGCCTTGGTGAAGAGTCTAGCTCCAATGCGACACTGCCCGCCAGTGACATGCGAGCGCGTCCGCTTCCACCAGCCGACGCCAGTGCAAATGCCATGGTGTGGATGAACGCGCTTCTGATTGTGACTGCCGTGGCTTTGTCCGTAGCAATCGTGGTGTTGGTGTTCATGATTCGTCGTTTGCACCATCGTAGGCATACTGTCCTGATACCCGAGTCGCCCTGGAAGAGCGGAGGACGGAGCAACCAGCCTTCTTTCCACACTACATGCCCTCTGCTGAAAAGGGAAGAGCTCGAAGCCGCATGTGAAGATTTCAGCAACATCATCGGGTCGTCACCCGACGGGTTCCTGTACAAAGGAACACTCTCCGATGGCACTGAGATCGCTGTGACGAGCATCCGGATGTGCGCCGCGGACTGGTCGCCAAAATACGAGCTCTCCTTCCGCCGCAAAGTGGAGGGGTTATCGCGCATGAAGCACAAACATCTTGTAAATTTGGTGGGTTACTGTGTCGAAGAAGAGCCCTTCACGCGCATGCTTGTTTTCGAGTATGCCTCGAATGGTACTCTCTCGGACCATCTTCACAACCCCAAGGAGATGGAGCATCTGGACTGGCCGACTCGAATGCGCGTCATCATGGGAGCTGCATACGGGCTCGAGTACATGCATCACGACCTGACCCCACCTTGCAGCCACTTGAACTTCGACGCTAATGCTATATACCTCACGGACGAACATTCCGCTAAGATCGCCAATTTCGGCATTGCGAGGATGAGTGCAGGCAATCCCAAACAAGACCAAATGCTTCATGGGTGCAATAGCTGGATGGGTTGTACGGTAAGCGAGGGATACTCGGAAGAATGGGATGGCTTATACCGACACTGCCCTGGGTTTGAGGGCAACATGTACGACTTCGGCGTGTTTATATTGCAAACGATCAGTGGACGGCCCCCATATTGTGAGCTAGAACAGGAGAATCTGGTGAATTGGGCGGAAAGATATTTGTCCGACCCGAAGTTGATGTTGCATCTGGTTGATCCCGAGCTGAAGTTGCACAATGCCCAGGAACTAGTAGCGTTGTGTAAGATAGTGCAGATGTGTTTGTCTGACAAGGGATACAAGCGGCCCTCTATGCGGAAGGTAAGTCGGATGCTCGCGGAGGCACTGAACATGACTCCGGAAGCGGCGACGATGAGAGCTTCCCCGCTGCTTTGGGCTCAATTATCAATCCTCGACGACTCCACATAAGAGTAAGGATGTGGCTGCTCCATAGGTGTTGCTTTGTGGACCCTGTTAATTTCGCTCAAAGACCAGTCATAGTCGTATTGGTTTCCACGCAGCTGCAGGTTGTGATGCCAACGGAGGTGAATTGTACTTTTATCATGAAACCTGCTCCTGCCATTCATGCTTTTGTATAGTAAACATGACGTGATGGTCGCATTTAACCTGGGAACCTTTCCCTTGCAGAGGGGTCCACGAGTTAGGTTTACCATTCTTTAACCAGAAGTGTAGGGCTACCTTGCAGAAGTCATATACTTGTGTACCATCAACGCAGAACCAAGTGTATCAAATTTTGAGTAGCGCGTCTAAGCTGACATTGTCGTCTGCCTATGATTAGATGCATGTAACATTCTCCCCTGGAGGTTTTATTCTGCTCTTGTGAAATGCCTTGCTTCTGCCGGACTTCTACAGCATCTCATTTGACACTAAGTTGCCTCTTGGATCTAGCATTCGACTATGGGTGGGGTGAGTCGATAATTATAGTAGACATTTAGTGGGATAGTGTTGAAAGGGAACAACGGTTATCAAATCGAGATATCTTTCGTTAGTTTGTTCTACTGCACGAATGCATGGAACGGAGTGGACCACAGAGTATCAGTGACATTGTGAATCGCGGCATTCATGGCATCACGCACTGCTGCGAAAGGATCGCGGACGGGAAGCATGAGGCGGTGGCTTCATGTGGGAAGAAAAAACAAAGGGAAGTTGATTAACAAGTGAACTGTAGAAACGTCATAATATCATTCATATTACACATGATATGCAGTCAGAACCACGACATTCAGAACAGGAATAACGCTGTATGTATCATACATGCCGTATATGTAATCATCCTCGAACCGATCAGCAGCTAGAAGCAGAGTGAGCGTGGTAAATAGTTTAGGCGATACTGCAGCCGTTATGTACAGAAAGGAATGATATCTGCACATTATGTAATACAAAGAAGACGTCCAGTCGAGGATTCAACGTTCACACTTTTTCTTTATCCTGCTGATGGGACAAATCGCTCAACACCTTCACAACCAACAATATTAGCAAACTGATGATAGAACTCAGAAGCATTTGCTTTACAGTGGCCGACTTATCGATGTCTTGACACCATACTGTTTATCTTCCATATCATGACGTGAACACTGACCGTGTCCGTGTAGACTGCAACTGCAGCCACTCAAGCTGGAATCATTAATCACTCATCACTGAATACACGACATGACACACAATGACGCAGAACAAATAAATCCACGCTAGGTAGTGTACAGACAACATGCGACTCTTGTGGCTCTAAACTGAGCGCAGGCGATGGTCAAACAGCGGACCGTGAACTGCGCAGTGATGGAACCTAAAAGCAGCAGGAGAGCCCAGAATCCTAGCCACAGTTCCAGCTCCAGCAAACACCAAGTGGGTCAAAGGTTTCAGAATGTGATTAACGTCGAAATCTGGAAACGGATCCCAATGCTCTTCAGAATGATGCAATTTGAGACCACACTGATGCAGTCTGATATCAAGCTTGATATCATTTTTTAAAAACTTGCCTCAAAACAGTAAACGCCGCGTTGCTCGAGTCTAATGATCCAGTAATACTTTATACTCCAGTAGACTTCATTTAGGCCTAGGTCAGTTTATGTTCCAAACGTGTAACAAAATTTGTCTGAAGCAATTTGATTGTGTAATGATATCGTATTTTTTGGTCCGGAAAGCAGAGCCTCTGTGTTTATCTCCCTCTTCACAACTGCAGTATTTTTTTACAATATAGTTTCTATATCCAGGGGCCCACTTTTGGAAAGAAGTGCTATGAAATTGTGTGTTACAAGTTGTCTGAATTTCTGGTGTAGCTCTGGTTTTGTCTGATATGGTTCTCAACATCAGGCGAATCATTTTTGCACAATGCAAAAGCCTGTGTAATTAAACACGTTCGATGTAATGTGCTATTATCTTTTAGATTTGGATTTTTGTTTATTCATTTATATATTTATTTGCAAAATTTATAACATTTAATGAGTGTTGTCCAAGAGAAGACATGTATCTTGACATGAGGTCAATTGATTTTTGGAATGTTTTGATTTGTTTTTATATTTTCAAAAAAAGTGATCAAAAGCAAGAGAGTGTTTTAATGAAAATGAAAAATATAAAATATGTGTATTTTTCTTTAAGCAAGTCAAAAACCAACAAAGATCTTTCTTTACATCTATTAATATAAAGTTTTGTAAAAAGAAGTGCAAAAAGAAGATTTATTATTTTATAGATATTAAATAATACATTAATGAATTTTAAAATTAAAGTAAAATATATTTAAAATATTTATTTTAATAAAAGCTAAATTTCAAAATTTTAAAATATCAATGTAGTAGTATTAAAGAAAAAATAAAATTCATTAATCTACACAAACTTAATTAATTTGAATATAATCAAGAAAGAAAGAAAGAAATAATAATCTTAGTTTTTAAATATTAAATATAATACATTAATTTATAAACATAGTGAGTAATAAAAAATATATATAAAATAATAATTATAAGTATCTTTGCATACATCATAATATTATTTGGTACAAAAATTATTCATAACTACTAATTTGTAAATAGTAAGTTAGAAATTTAAAAAATATTTTAAAATATTTGTGATTCTATAAAGTAATTTAAGTATCTTTGATAATAAATTATTCTATTTATTTAAGTAAATTTTGAGATTTTAAAAATACAATCATAAAAAATTATTTGTATTTTTGATAAGTGTATAGTATTAAATTATTTGAAATTTTTTCTAATTGTATGGTATGTAAAAAAAAGATAAGTTATTAGATCTTATAAAAAATAAAACTATGATATATATGTTACAAGTTAAAGATGTAATAGAAGTAACATTATTTCATTGTTTAATACAAATCAATTACTATCTTGTTGCGAAATCCTTCCAATAGTTATAATTTTTTTCATTTAATTATTTTAATAAAATAATAAAATAATTTATATTTCTTTTTATTTATGCAATGATTTATACAACTGCTAAGTTTTGGTAAAAAGAAAAAGAAAAATATAGTAAATAAAAAAAATCTTTAAATATTAAGTTAATTTGACTTATCCAATAAAAAATATAGTTTTAATTAAAAAATAATTTAATATATATATATATATATATATATATATATGTAATGTTGATATATTAAATAATATAATTTTTATTTTTATTTACAAATAGTCATATTATTATATAATAAAATCTATGTTAAACTTTGTTTTAAATTTTTTCAAAGGAGAGTTTTCTTAGAACAATCACTAGAAAAAAATAAATAAAAGTTATAACAAATAAGATGAAGGAAGCAAGGACTTGCTGATTTAGATTTTGAATATCCTTTTAAATTACTCTTAGTTTGGATTTTCGTACAAGACATATATTCTAGCCAAATGGCTTAGATATCTACTTGGTAGATATATAATTATAAATCTTATAGTTGTAATTATTTTCAAAATCTAAACTTAGATATTTTATTCACCAGTCTATAATTAGAGATTTGATACTTAGAGACCTATGTTGATTCAAAGTCTAACAAATCAAGTTGTAATAAAAATCCTTCAAAGAGCTTAACTGAAACAGTAGTCAATTCTAAAAAGTTCTTTAATTGTATTAGAGGTTGTAAATGGTCCAAAATCTAGTAATTTAAGTTAGTAGATAAAACACTCTTTTAATAATTATCTCAAGAATTTCCAATTTTGGAAAGTTCCAATTATGTTTAAATAAACCTTAATACTAACTTCTAACAATTTCAATAATATTGGTCTCTACCAAATAAAAAAATTTAAAAAATCTTAGTTAGGGAGATTTTTCATTGATTACATTTATAAGTCAAGTTAAAACAAAAACTTATTGTAATTGTACAAAGTACTAAAAAATTAAAATAATGTTAGGTTGAGCTGAAAATATGATTGATCTTTGATAGAACATAAGAATTCTAAAAATGAGCAATTGCAAAAAAGAAAACATTAAAAAATAGATTCTCCTTGGATTTTTTGTATACTTATATTACTTCTAATTACTTATGCAAGGTATGAATTTTTTTAGATGGCTATTTTAGTATTATAATCTAATTGTTATATATGAGGATTTGGTTTTTCAAGTAGATGAAGTGCCTAACCCTTCATGAGTTTTTATCTAGATCTAACTAGTGTACTACTTGGACTTTATTAATTTGGATCTTTCTATTTGTTAATACCCAACAAGTTTGGTTTTTCTACTGTGGACTTTACTGGTCCAAGTGTGTTATTTATTTGAATCCTATTTGTCCTAGTCTAATCCCTAATTAACTAGATTGGTCAATAATTTAGTTTTTTTCAAAGTATAAATATGTCAAAGAGATTGAATAATTACAAAGAAATATCACAATTACAAATGAATGTTGTTAACTTTTATATAAGAATATCTCAACAAGCTTTGGCTTTTCTTCCATTTAATTAACAATTTAAGTATATATGTTTTTTAAAAATGATATTTAAAATGTAACCAAATGTTTTTAAATAAGACATATAACACCAATATTTTATTATTATTATTATTATTATTATTATTTTTTTTTTTGGTGGAAATTTTAAAAATATAAATATATATATCAAGATTTTGTAATTAAATTTTCTGCAACATAGAATAGTTTTTTTTTCTAGTCTTGTTTGTATACCAAATTAAATATAAAATATTGATTGAATATTAATTATTTAATTTTTTATACAATCATCTATTATTTATACTTACATATAATATTATATTACTAAAGAATAACTGAAAATGTTTCAAAAAATAAAACCAAAAGATCTATAATTAAAAAACACAAAAATTAAAAAAAAAATCATATAACTTAGATAAATATATATTTTTCTTAAATTAATTAAATATTACATCAATTTTTTATAAAATGTGAAATATATAATATTGGATGCAACATATTTTACTAAATAATATAATATTTTTAGTTCTTTTGAATGATTAAATATAATACTATTAATAATTTATAAAATATGTATATATGTATATATATAGTGATATAAGCAATAAAAAAACAAGCCAATAATTCATAAATACATACTTAAATTTAAGACCAAGTGATAGAAGACCAAACAAGTTTTTTTTTGTTTTGTTTTGTTTTGTGTTTTTTTTTAAAGAACACTTTCTTATATACTATTTTAAAGTGCCTAATCAATTTTACTATCATTTATGATATAGTAGCAATAGAAAATTCACATATATAATATAATACATATAAACGCAAATAACATTATATCTATATCAATTATCTTAAATTACTTCATTTATTATTTTACATTTTTTACTAATCATATTATAACCACAGTAATTCTTTATGAATAAAAATTATATATATATATATATATATATATATTTATATACACACTAATAAACTATAATCAACACACAGATATATGACATAATAATAGTTGTTAGTTTTTAATTTTTCAATTACAATGAATAATATTTCGAATCTATGTCTTTATTCACAAATTTAAATCACTAGCACTATTAAAAGTAGTTATGAAATATTATTTTATGTCTTTTGTGGCTATAGATCCTAAATAGGAATTTCCAATTTTTTCTGTTTAATTTTTATACAAATTTAATTATTTTTTAGTTTCTATATATACATATATAATAAAATATATAAAAAATCGATAAAAAAACAAAAAAAAACAAAAAACAAAATTTCCTGTTTTTCAGAGTGTTTCCGTTGCCGATGATGGTGCCCAAGTGGAGGGACTTCAGATGCTCCCGCGCAGCAGCCCCTAGAACTGGCGCCAGATCAAGGGCCAAAGTTGGCGCCAATTTTTGGCGCTAAAGCTGGCCAAAAGTACCAATACACCAGGAAAAAGCCGCGCCAAAGTGGTGGGGATACAGCGCGGGACACGAAGCTTGGTAGTGAGGTGCTCCAGCAGCCCTGCCCTAGACGTGGACGATGCGATGCAAATCCTTTTCTTCCTTGGCCGCAGATTCTGAGACGCTAATCCAGCACTCAGCGGAGAATTGGGCACTGCTCCGGATCGTAGTCCAGATACCGGGAGCCCCATGATCTCGAGTGGCCACGGCCAATTGGTTCGACTGCTGTTGTCGCGCTGCGACATCGGCGGTGTTCGGTATTGTCAGCTGCTGGCCAGCCACCCGCTTTAGACTTGTATCTGACACGCCCATGTGGCGGATCGCGGTGGTCTGCGAAGGCCGAGCCAGGCAGGCTGGATGTGCTTCCCGCTGCTCGGAGGGAACATGTTGCTGTGCATTAAAGCCTTGCGCTGCGCAGTTCGCCGACTGCCCTAGGGTAGATCACCTAGGGTCAGGCTTCCGGGGCCACGATTGGGTGCGTTTGTAGCGGACAAGGTTTCATGGTAAGAGTTTTTGAGTGTCTGAGTGGATTAGTCCCAGGCATGAAGCCATGGATTGGTGGGGTTTCTGCAGGGTTCGACCCGATTCCGGAACTCCAGGCCTGGTCGTTAGAAAGAGATGACACTGTTTTCGGAATCAGAGTCTGTTTCATGTCTGTGGACGGTGAATTTGAGAGGATAATTTGCGAATTAGATAGGGAATGGGTATGGTGCTGCATTGGTGTGCAAATGATAGGAGAAGTGGATCTCATCGCCGCAGCGCCGGTTGTTGGTTACAGAGATAGTGGTGGAGATACTCTGACTGCGAGCGTCTTCTCTGGTTCGGGCTAGACTTATCGTTTGTTGTCGACGTTTGTGTGCTGTTTGCCGTAGCAAGTAGCTAGATGTTTCTGAAACAAGCTAAATTCAGTGTCGATGGTATGTATACACACTAAATTGAACTACCAGGATCAACTTTCTTCATTTGACATAAACATTATACAATGTTAACTGTTCACGTTGTTTGGATCAAGCAGTCGAGAAACGTTCGGAACTGAGACATAGCATCCTTTCAGGATCGGCATCTGGTGCAGACTGAGTCAGACCAACGAGCCTTGCTGCGAGGCCGAAGGTATTGGCTATCATGGGCACCGCTAAGGTAGAAGTTATGAGCCCGGTCTGCACTTTTGTCAGACCGAAGAGGTTTGTCACGTCGCAGAGCTTCAAGGAACACCTCATTCGGATCAGGTCACAGCCGGAGCCCGATCTTGCAGTGATTGTGGAGAGCCTATCCAAGTTTTCGTTCAAGGTGCCTGCAGTGGCCTCCGTGAAGGAGAAGCCAGAGGTGGAGCAAGAGTATATGTCCAAGTGCGAGTGTTGTGGGATAACAGAAGAGTGCACCCCGGGTTATGTCGCCCGAATGAAGGCCATGTTTTGCGGCCGTCTCGTGTGCGGTCTCTGCGGGGAGGCTGTGAAGGAAGAGAGAATGCGCATGGGTCCTGAAACTTCAATGGAGAGTGCTCTCTGTGCTCACATGAAAATCTGCTTCAAGTTTAACACTTTCACGAGACAAGACCCTGCAGCAGATCTGGCCCAGGCAATGCGGCAGATCCTTCGGAGGAGTATTGAGCTGGGAACCTTTCCGAAGCCTAAGGCAAAATCATGGCAGCGAGCTGGGCTCTCTCGCAGCGAAACTTTCAGCAACCGCGGGTATCCGAAGAGTCTGCCATGACTCAACATGAATCCTTCTGTCACACTATGACATTCACCTCAGACTAGGACACAACCTACCTTTGGATACTGATATGCGCAAGCAACAACTGGAACCATTCTTGATTATGCAACATGCTCCGTCACTTCGACTTAAAATTAAACAGCGGCTCAAACGAAGACAGCTATTGAGGAAGCTCAGACGAAGTGGCATGGCACTTAGAAACTCAGGCCGCATGTTAATCCTGTCATACTTAGATGTTCTCATTTCCGAAGCCTCTCAGCATAGCACTGACAGCTCCTCTGTTAGTCGCACCAAATCACCACATTCCATCAACAAGGGCCTTCTTCTCCGAGCTGTCAACTAAATTCAATGCCGGTGATGCCAGTGACGCCAGGTTCACAGAAGTTGTGGCCTCCTGGTGTCTGTCCTAGTCGATCGACACCATGATCACTACAGCTGTAGTCATGTGCTGGCAGGAGGAATTTCTTCTTCTCCTCACAGCTTGACCCATGTCGACTTACACTGGATGACCACTCTGACATGGGCTTCCTATCAGGAACATCAAAAATAAAACAGAGATAGGGGGATCAGTGGGTTTAGCCTCACCCTGTATAGTTTTCTTGGATTCATTCTTTTGTGCCTCTTGCCTTGAAAATATAGAAACCGATTGTAATTTAGATTATTCTTGCATTTGAGCCAATCAAAATTACTCACAAACGAGTTCAACTGTACTATTGACCTCAAACTGTTGGAGGGCACTAAAGCATGGTTTTAATATGTATTAACTTTTTGCAAGTACTCAATACTATTCGAAATGGATCAGTGTATCATTTAGCTTGAAAGTGTAGTTTTTTCTCTCCCTCTTGACAATTAACGGTGGTCATTAATGAAATGTGAATTTAAAACAACTTTTCTATTTGTATGATCAAAATAATTATAAATATGTGAGTTTATTATAATAAGTGTGATTGATGCATAGTTGCAAATCTTTGTAAGAATTGAGACAACCAATAGTATTGATGTACTTGCTGATATTTTCTTTTAATACAAAATTGTTGTTGTACAAACTATGCATTTGCAAACTATTCTTAAGATTGAGTTTACGATGTAAAGATTAACAGAAGATAGAAATTGTGAAAGGAAGGCTAAGACTTCTTAAACACAAGCAAATATAATAAACTCAAGTGAATATGCAACAAGCAAATATAAGCAAATATAATACAGTTGAAGGGTTTATGATTGGTATATATAAATTCAAGTGAAGTTCTATTTTGTAAAAAGAAAATAATTTTATTCTTAATACACACATAAAAGAGTAATTTTATTGCTCATAGATTGTGTAGTTATTTTCAAAACTCTTAAAATATGCCAAATTAAAATCATAGTTACATATTTATAATTATTTCAAATAAATATTTTTTTTTTGTCATATATCATATTAAAAATAAAATTTAAGGCTTAGATGATTCAAAAAATAATTTTTCTCTCACTTTATATATATATATATATATATATATAATTGTTAAATAGATCCATCTATTTACTAAACCGATCCGCCATATTATAACTATCATAAGAAAAATAGATCATTTCAAAAACCTGCTATTACAATCATGGCCATCATCCGGACCTCCTTCATATCCTGTCCTTTGTTCTCAACCTTCATCTTAACTCTTTTTGTTCTCAATCCTTGCTCCCTATGTTTCCAACTCTCATCACAATTCTCTCCATTCATAGCTCTTAATATTTCATGAAGAGCATGTTTTTCTTTCTTTGGTGGTACTCATGTGATTATAATGTTTTTTTTTTAAGAGGAGAAAGATAAGAATCAATAAAATCTAATTTTTTTTTTTTTTATATAAAACACTCAAATTATAACTGACTTGGATTAACCAACCAAACACATATCATAATTAGGCCATTCTTTGGAATTAATTCTACTATATATTATATAATAATGTATGATCAACTAAATTTATTTTAGATATCAAAAAATCTTGTTTTATTCAATATAAATCAACATCTATAAATAATAATAGTTGATCTAAACCACAATATTCATTGTACTATCTTTTTTTAAAGCTTATTCTTGGGCAAATTTTGCTTTGGTCTTTCTCACTTCATCCTTAGGCTATGGTTTTTCTTTGTCTTTAGCCTAGAGCACTCTTATATTTTAGTTTAATAAGTTGATCCTTATTATATAATGCTTTTATGGCATTGTTGCCACCAATGTGCTTATTGCTAATGAAAATATTTTGCATTGTTAGTTGCTTCGAAGTTCGAAATAGAATATTTTGGATGATACCATCATCCTTTGTCACCACATCCAACTAGTATAAGATAACAACAAAAGAACAATAAAAACTCTAAATCACATATAATAGCTCAAAATCACAAGTTGATAGTACTTACAATTGAAACCACTGTCTTATTTCAATTAAAAGAAAACAAAAATAAATGTCCACTTATTCTTGAGGTTAATTTTGACAATTGTAGGCTCGTACTTCTAAGTTCTTGAAAAAATCCTTATTACTTTTACAAAAAAGGCACTTACTTTTGGTGCAACAAGATTATATACCAACTACACCAACATTTGTGTCAAAATATGCTTCAAATACATTCTAATCTTATATCTAATCTAACTTAATTGATACTGATGCAAATTTCAAAGAGCAAAATATACACAATGCCATTGGAATATATATTTTAATACCAATTAAACAATTCATAAGAATTACATATAAATACTCAACTATAGAGGAATACAATTACATAATCCACCAAACATTGGTGTGGTTGACTTATACACAATGAGAAGAATTTGTTTCATGATCTCTTATACTTTTACTAGAAGCAGGAGCCAAGAATGGAGGAGATTGGAATGAGAGCTAAGAATAGAAGGAGTGGGGACTAGAAACAAGAGGGATTGAGATAAAAGATAAGAATAAGAGAGGTTGGAACAAGCTTTGCTAACAAAAGAAGTAGGGATTGAAAACAAAAGAGGTCGGAATGCGAGCCATGATTGTAATGATGGTTTTTTAAGATGATCCATTTTTCTAATATGGTTACAACAAGGTGGATTGATTTAGTAAATGGATGGATATATATATATATATATATATAAGAATAGATATTAAATCTTATGATTATTTGAAAGCTTTTTTTGACAATAGATATTTTAATTTTTTTAAAAAATTAGATATTATATTTCTATTATATATTATTAATTAATTATTATAGATATATATAAATATATATGTATATATATATTATCTATTTATTCAAATAATTCTAAATTATTTTATGAAATAAGTCAAATATATTTTATTTTTTACTTTTTATTTTTTATTTTAATTAAATAATAAATATTTTTCTTCATAGCTTATAAAAAAATATTAATTACACTCTCTAAACAACCTAGATCAAAGCATTAAATAACTTATGATAGATAAGGTGCACTATGTATTGAAATATAATTGATATAATTTTAAGTTTAAAATAAAAAAAAAAAAAAAAGATTTTAAACCTCTATATCTTATTCAAATCAAACTATTTTTAAATTTTTATTTTGAAAATATTCTAAGTTATAAGCTTTTATAACTTTAATTTAGAACTTATTTTATTTTTTAAATCCAGTCTGAAGCCTTAAGATCAATTACAATAAAATAATAGATTTGTTTTTTATTTTTATTACTATTATTATAATAATTACTTCAATTCTTTAAAGAATCATATTACTTATGTATTTATGTATGTGTATATATGGAAAGATAGATATATAGATTGATAAACATGTACACATATCTTCAAAATACAATAGATTTTTAATAAGATTTAAATAAAATTATTAAAAAATATCATAATTTTTTTGATATATAGAATATTATTATTATTCTATTTTTTATTGATTTTTTATTAAGTATTATTTAATATTTTAGAGTATTATTATTATTATTATTATTATTATTTATGTAATAGTGGCTTTTTAGATAGGAGAAATTTTAATCATTAATTGTATATTTTGTACATTAAAAGAATTTACAAATATATTAGATCACTTGAATACCTTTAACTAAATCCTTTGTAATTATGATGAAGAAAAAAAAAACAAAAGAAGATGATGTATAAAAAAAGACATTTGAGATCTAATAATAGGAGAGTATATAAATTAAAATATCATATAATTTTAGTAAAGATAAAAGGGCTATTCTAAAAATAACTCTTTAACAAAAGAGATGATCAATAATTTTGCATTGTATCTTGTTAAAGAAAGTACAAAAGATTTTAAAAAATATTAAATAAGTGATTTTAGAACTATTGACTTCAGTAGTATTTTAAAAATTTCTCTTAAGCCACAACTATTGAATGTAAGACACTTAAGGAGATGTGGATTGATAGACTTGCAAACTATTCTAAATGTAGAATTTTCAGGTGCCCAACATTAGATTATATTCACCAAATAAAAGATCTGAATTTGATGTTAGTGCAAAAAAAATTATATATATATATATATATTAGATTTTAATTTTTTAATAAAAATATGTAAAATACAGGATCTAATTACACAATAATTGTGAGTAGAGATGTAAGTCTAATAAAGCATCTATATTAAAAGATAATAATTTAAAACATTAATTAAAAAAATTAATTATTTAATTAATTGTTTTATGTTCTCAAACACTTTTGTAGTTTTGAAAAGACTTTAGATTCTACTATATCAAAGATAATTAATGGTAATAATTTTAAAATCTAAAATTAGAAGGATTATGAAAAATTAAAAGTCTTTATATTTTTTTATATATATATTATATTTTTAATTATAAAAATAGAAAATTTTCTATTTTATATATATTTTTATTTTTTAATATAGTTAATAGGTATATAAAAAATATTGAAAAAAAATAATAAAAAATAATAATGTGAGTAATTTGCTATTCAAAATGTACTATAGATATATCATATTTGGTGAAAATATGAGAAAAAAACACCAAATAATTTGAAAATGTTATTTTAGCTAGAAACTTTCACAAAAAACTCTATTATATGTTACATTTTTATAATATTTAATAGAACTTAAAATTAAAAGTCTACTTTATAATCTATCATATTTCTTTTCATAATTTAATTAAAATATATCGTTATTGTAGCAAGAGGAAAAAAAAGGAAAAAGAAAAAATTAAAAATACTTACTATTGAATTTGATTTGATTCAAGATAAAATTTTATCATGCTGCAATATTTTAAGTATAATACATGTGGCAAAAAATCAAGTTTATAAATCTAAAAAAAATACATATACTTTAGACGCTATTAAATTTAGAATATTATTACTTATGGTAAAGTTTGTATAGAGAAGATAGGTATAAAAGTAAATACATACATTGCTCTCATAATATGATGTATGTTTTATATAGTGGGTGTTTAATGTATTCTTCACACCATCTTTACAAGTATTAATGACTTCAGTCTTTAGCCTAATAAAAACACAATAGCATGTATATCAATTCAAATCCTAATAAAAAAAAAAAAACATTCCGTTTTGCATTGATTTCTCTACCCATGTGTAATTTTGGGTCTATTTTTCCAACATTCTTAGATTTAATTTTAATAGAGTTTTTAGAAATAAAATTATATTTTATAAAAAAATGATACCTAAAATCATTAAAAAGAAATTATAACAATATAAATATCGAAGATTTTCTACAGATTTTTTTTTCCATATCTTCATAAAAGTAATATATAACTAATATCTAACTTGTTGTCAATTGTCTAAATTTAAGTGAATAAATCATTTAACTCATTTTTTTTCTAAAACTCACAATTGTGGTATTAATTTAGATAAATTTGGATTATTCTTGTATGAGATTTTGTTAAAAGAAAGAAAATTTTTGGAACTGTATATAAAAAAACCTTAATACTTCATATAAAATATTTATAGAAAATTTATTATTTATAGAACTTTAAAAAGATGAAAATATTTTAAAAGTGTTGAAGAATCAAGTAGAAATGAAGAAAGAGAGTTGGATCTATTTGAATTATTACATGGTTACTTTTTTCTTTAAAAATTTTAAAAAAAGATTTTATTTTATTCTAATAACTATTGATATTATTGTTTTTAGAATTTTTTTTTAAATAATTAATTCTACAAATTTAGATCTGTTGAATTTGTATTAAAAAATTGATTCACTAATGGTAAACTATGTTATAACATTTTGGAACATGAACCTTAAAGATTGTTTATTTACTAGTCATATGTAAAGATAGTTAAGCTTAGTAAATTTACATGCTAAAACCAAAGTTAACAACAAATTACAAACTAACCAAACAAGTTGGCAAAACATTGCTGACCCTTCTATTTGTAGTAATTACAATATCAAAAATTACAGAAGAGTTTTGTATAATACAAGTTATTTGTTGAGTCTGTTAGACGTCAAGAAGCAAAAAATTCATTTTACAAAAAACCATATCATGCACATCCATAACATATAAAACAAATCTAACTTACCATTTCATCAATGCTGATTCTCACGTGCACTCAAAGAAGTGTGACGCAATGGCTTAAAACAATCTTGTGTTCAATGTGATCAGTTTCCCAAAATTTACAGAAATCTCCAACTTAATTTTTCCAACAATCACAGAGGGATTGAAATCTAGAACATGAAGATATGGTTGAAAACCAACGAGCTCCTCTTTTATTGCACACAAGTAGCTGACCCTCAACTTGTGCCTTTATATTTACATATGTCCATATATACACACAATTCTGAACAAGAACCGTAGAATGATAATTGTTTCAAAACATTCTCTGACTGCGTGGGCGAAGCGAGTGCAGAAAAGCGCACGACAATGATGCAGCAGTTGTTGAGAGTCGTTGTGAGAGTTGACGAAGGTGGCCATCTTGCGAATTAGTGGTGGCGGTGTTGGTGAAATCCGAGGCATGCGTGGCCTAGGCAGTGGTCAGGGCACTGTAGTCAAAGATTCTGGGTTCTTCCTCACCATACAGCCCATCTCCATATTCTGCTGCAACCACCGATGATTAGGTGTTGATGCCTCCCTCTCACAGTTTCACTGCTTCATTTGTCTTGTTCTGGACCAAGGTTTGGACGTTTCTACTGGTCCATATGAGCGCTGCAGCGTTGGAGCACAAGAGCGACGTTGAACGACCCACAACTATCTAGTGTGCTGTATACGGACGTCGCACGACTCGTGCGGACTGTTCTTTGAGACTCGTGTCCATCTGCCCCCGAAGCTTGCCTCATCTGCTGCGTTTTTTCTGCTCTCCTTTCAAGATGACTTTTGGGTAAAGTTAGCCAGCAACATTCCTTACCTTTTCAGTGTTTGCGAATTCAGCAGTGCCAAATGATAAGTCGTAAATCAGTTTTCTACTCCGGGAATGTGAGAATCCACCAAGTGCAAACGCTACATGCACAGGGATTGGGCACGCACTGTAGAACGACTGGTTGGACGACTCTTTTCACGTCCAGAACTCAATGCTCCGCTCCGCGTCCGCAGTTGCCGCACGCAGCGTCCGGATACATGAAGCAGTTGCAGCAAACTGTTGGATGGTGCAGGTAGTTGGGGTTTGTGATGAAGGGGGAGGAGGAGTTGGCTGAGTATGGCATCACTACAAACGCCGGGTAGTAGTAAGACCAACGCTCTCCGTCAGTGGTACGTTCATTGTCAGGGTTTGGTTCCGCAGAGGCTGGCTCGCGCGTTACAATTTTTCCCTTCTTTCCAATGGCTTTCTTCACCGCTTTCAGCAGTTCCTTGTGGTTGGGTCCTCCATCAGGACATTCTGTCACCGTCAGCAGGTTGTTGGTCAAGTCAGTTTTATAGTCGAACACACCTGCATGACATGCACAAAATTAGTCAGCCCACACAATGATTCAAATTCACTCCACGACTCGCGCAACCAGATGTGCCTGTACGCGAGGCAATGGTGGTGTCTACCGGATTCATGCAGCTGCGCGCTTCGAAACTATGAGCATTCAAGCACGCATGGTGTTTTTCGCAATCACTCACCGGGCATACCGCACACTGCTACTTGCACTTTTTCTGCGCATGCAGGGCAGCACATGTCCACTTCCACCTCCAGTTTCTGCGAGGCGCCCAATGTGTGTCAGTTTGTAGCTTTCATTCCATATTGGAATTGCGCGGGGTTAATACCGCTACTCGGTGTTCTACCTGGACAACGCCGTTAACGGTTCTGGCCATGAATGGTCTTGTTCATGAATTTTAGGTCCAAGACAGGGGCCTTGAGGTAAGAAGGAAAGATGTGGACCAGAACGAACCTTCAAGCTTGAGGGCTCCGTGGCGACCTCCCACGCCTGACTCTGCCTGAACCACCCCGGTATGATCTGTCCCGAGTTGATAAACATGGCCTGCACAACTCACACAATGGAGAATGAGTATGGAAGTAGGTCCGTAATCCGAACGGCAAGCAAGATTCTCTGTGGGTAGACTTTCATGCTTTCGAATGGTCCCCGTCAAGTGCAATGTTCAAAGGACACAGAAGCCGTGGTGTTAATCTCGATCAGGACTCTTGAAGGTTTCAGCTTGTTATGGTTCTCATGAGGAACTTCCAACCGATACGCTTTGCCAGACTTAAAGAGATCCTGAATCCATTCCGGGTCGTGCTTACCGGGCCAAAGTTTTCCATGCTGGTGGAAGTGCTGGACGCAGAATGAAGGGATTGGAAATAGGTCGAAATGTGCCCTCCGCCTCACTTTCCCAGCTTGGCTTAAATTCAGAACGCCTGAGAGAGTAGCGAAGGAATGAAAGCAACTGATATGACAAAAGGGATCTGAAACTAGCAAGCTCCAATCTAGTTAACAGCGACTGCAGAAGAAAGTTTGCTGGTGTCCGAGATTGAATGAAGCGGCACTGGGACTATACATCACTCTGAAATTGTGTGTACTGTCCCCACCAGTTGATGGTGTATATAGGGCGATCCCCGAAGCCGCGTAGTCGTGGTCCAGGACAACAGATTCCAGAATGACGCTGCTTGCAGACAGGTGACCACGCGGCTGAGGCCTGCACCGCAGACATCGGAATCAGTGAGACGGGCGGACACGGCGTACTGCCGACGCGAAGGCTATTGCGACGACCCACTTTGCAAAATCCCCAGTGCCCACTAGAGTGGACGTTGCTGTGCAGTCCAAGGTGGTGGCAGGATGGGGGAGGGGGGACAAGTCAAGGCTTGCGGTACAAGATTCCGCTAAGAGACACAAATCGATCCACATTCCAGAATACCAGTCCAGCAGCGAAAGTTTGAGCATCCGGACCACTGGTCATGAATTCGATGTCATCCGATGCGGGGCCATCGCTGCCTTTGCGAGCTGGGTTTTGTACAGACACCGGAAAGCGCGACTGGAGTCGCGGTGAGGGGGAGCTTCGAGGCGATTCCAGCGGATGCTCCGGTGGATGGAAGAATCAACAAATGACGTGATTCGAATGGGCGTGGCTCTCATCCGACTCTACATGGGGCAGCCCCACTTGTGGGTAAGAATGATGCTATCTCACCTCCTTTTTAACTTGGCCCCCCTCATCGCTGCAACATGTCGGTAATCCAACATTTTAATGGTGGAATGTATGTGGATCTATGAATATACGTTGGGAGTCTTTGTTAAAAACTTGTTAGCTTCCTCTTTTGACCCTCCATGATTTATTAGGGGAATCTTGGATCCACCTGTAGGTATCATGCATGCTTTACAGCAGCATTGATGCATTGCTATAGGGCCAGAACAAAGGATGCATATTCATACGTTTTTAGCATTGAAAATAAATATTTTTTTAATAAGATTAATGTTTTAATTATTTATTTACTTCTTCTCGAGTTTTTTTTTTTTTTTTTTTTTTTTTTTTCACGCTTGTCTTGTTTGTTGGAATGCTTGAAGGATTTTATTTAGTATTCTGTTAAGTGTTCAAAACAATTGGTAATAAAGATGTAGAAGTAAAATAGCTTCTTCGACAAGTACACTAATTCAAGTGGATTTTTCAAATTATTATGTAAGTAAACACACATCCATTAAATAACCAAGATTTTTTCTTCAAATTTAATTTGATGTAATTAGGTTTAAATTTTAAGGAACCATTTAACAAGTGTGACTTGTAATTTTTTTTTAATTATGGCAGTATATAGCATTATTATTTAATATAAATTTTATTAAAATATCACTCACTTAGGTTTCATTATATATATTTTAAAATTAAAAGATATAGCTTTAAAAAAAATCAAAGAATTTTAGGCAAAATATTTATTGATGCATGTAAAATATATTAAAATAAACAAGAACTACTTCTTGTGATACTAAAAAGATCTATTAGATTGTAGAAAATTCTTAGAAGGTTTTATAATCTTCTATAGTATTTATGTTTGTGACATGTTGATATAAAAGACCTCTTTTCTTTGGTTCCTATTGATGTAGTTGGATTCCTCATTCTAATTAAAATTTGCATTTTATGCAATTGCAATCACTAAAGGTGGTGGTGATTACCTTGAAGTGTTGTGTGATATTTTGCAATTGCTCAAATAAAAGAAATGTCTTGTTTTTGTTTTTTTTGTTTTTTTTTTTTTTTCCACCTTAAAAAATAGAATCAACCATCTTTTTACTAGTTGACTTTCTTATTAACTGTTTTATTCTAAATGTGGATGCTTCTTTGGACCTTCTATTTGGCTTTGTGCATGGCAAGCTAAATCTCTTTAATGTCTTATATCTTTACAATTGATATGTTTTCCATATTTGTTTTTTTATCATCAAATCTTTATTATGAACTTCTTCATTGTTAAAAACCTTTTTTGTAGCAAGTTAATGACTCTAGGACCTTTTTAATATTCATGATTATATTATATAAATTATAATAACTTGTTTTTTTAAGTTTTAAAATATGAATAGAAGTTGGTGAAAGTTGCCATTACCAAATTTGGTGGTGATAATTATTCAAATGACAAACTTTCTTGCATATAATGATTGCTTGTAGAATCATTATGATTCTGTAAAGGCTGTAATATAAGACATATACTCCTTAAAGTAGTTTTCTTTATTAAAACAATAACTTTCTAATAAAACCTCGCATTCAATTGTGTCTACTTCCTTATGATTGGAGTAGGAATGACTGATGATGCTACTAGGATTTGGTATCATACTCTGCTGTGATGCTCATACACATATATTTGCTACATGTTTTACCTAAATTCACTTGCTCTTACTTGTATTTTCGTGATTCTTCTATTCTCTTTACTAGTACTTTCCTTTGCCTTGTCCGTAGACTCTCTTGAGGCTCACTGGAGAGTGGCAAGTTTCAAACAAAAAACGAAAGATTTCAATCACATCAGAATTGCTCTTGCTACGGGCAATCCCTCTCTCACAGCTCGCCAAATTTGGTTTCCTCGGAACACTCGCTGTTCCTGGTTCCAATGTTTTTGGTCCTCTATAACCGATTCTGGTTGATGCTCTCACCTTCTACAAGCATCCTTTTATGAGTCCAGTTTCACCTTGCACACTTACCACGGCTTTGATTGCTCCCACACACCCCAGTTCCCAATGTCCATCTTCTTCTGGGTTACTCTTTCGGTTGCTGGAAGTTTTGTTTGGTAACATTAATTGCCACACTCGGTTCACACCTCCTGTGATTGAGTTGACGCTCATGAATTTGCTTCTCCTTACTCCTTCGCTTGTTCTCGTATCTTGATATTCTGCACCGCCGTAACTCTAATTTCTTCGTCAATTCTGCATCTAGCTCGCACCTGCACTCCTCTTCTTTGCTCTTTTGGGGGACTCTTTTGGAGCTGCTTGCACTCCTCCTCTTCCCCCTTCGGCAACACCTTTTCTTCGCTGTTGTTGTTCTCTAAGCATTTTTCATTCTCCGAGGCTTGCCAATGGTCATTCACCTCCCCTTTTCTCCCCAATAAATTCAGACCCCTATATGCTATAAATCACTTCGGCTCAATTTACTCTTCGTCGCACACTTGCTAGACCTCTTTGTAAATCACTCGCCCTATTCTTGCTCAATTCCACCTCAGCTTTGTTGCTTTGTAATATTTTGTTTTACTGCGATTCCATTTTGGTTCGTCTTAACTGCCTCGCAAAAGGTTTGTTGCTATATACTACACTACTCTCCCTGCCTTTGATTGCGCCCGCTACTAATCGATCACACCATGCATAGGAATAGCTTGGCATCGCCACGCTTTCCTGTTGAGCGTACCTTTGTTGATACTTGCATGTTACCTAGTGATATCTGAGTGCTTTGTTACCCGGGAGATACTTTGATACCCGATCGGCCAACTGTATCCAAAAGATACCCTTGAGAACTCCTCTTTGTACCCAGTGATACCCGCCAAGAACCCCATAAGACCTTGCTGACTAGTTATTATAAAAAATATTTTTAGTTATTTTTTCAAGACAACCCTACCTAGTATTTTAATTTAGAGACCATTCTTGCAATCCTTGACACAGTATTTTACTACACAACAATAGTAGGATCCAAACCAACAAGTTTTGGATTTTTCAAAACTTGTGTTGCTTTTGTGTATTTAGTAAACAAAGAAGGTGGCCTCTAATTGTAAAACTCTTGGATTTATGATGATCTTGTTTTAAGAAAGTTCTCTCTTGTTGTTTTGCTAAAGCACCTTAGTTGAATTAGTTAAATCCTTGGTTAGTAGTTAAGGATTTTTATTTATTAATTTTATAAGTAACTTACTAATTTTATTGATTAAGGTGTTGCTATTACAAAAGAATTTTATTGTTAAAGTATAATATTGAAATAAAAAGATTGGCATTCTTTAAAAACATTAGCATTTGTTATGAAAAAAAAAAAAAAAATCTATTTTTGTCATTGAAGTTAATCTTTGGAAGTAATTACGTGGATGAAAATATTTATAAATATGTTTATACAAGGTTGGTCATCAATAATTTTTGTTGACAATCTTGTAACTTGTATAATTTTGGAATAAACAATGTTGATAGAAAAATTTGCCTAATATACAAACTCAATAAAATTTTAATTTGATTATATCAAGCTAATCAACTAAAATGATATAATTGAATTGAATCAATGCAATTGGTTAAATCAAAGCTTATACTTTGTACAATAAAATATCAACAACCATGTTGATCTTAGAATGGAAAATTTAAATATTAGAAAAATGTTAGAAAAGAAATAAACATTACAAGGTATAAAAAGAAAACTTGAACAAAAATAAAAGTTAAAGAGTTACAATTTGGCAATTAAAAAGTTGTTGCAAGAGAATTAGATCGAATGTTAATGTGTTTGGAATTTTTTACATCTTTATTAAAGAATTAGAGCTAATCAATAGAATTAATCATTTTTATTCTTTTCTACACAAAGTTACTTAAATTTTAATGGAACTGAAAAAGAAATAGAATCCTTGTTAGATTATGAATTACACAATTCACATATATTAAGAACCTAATGTAAAAGAACTTCTTCTTTAAATTATAATATATTCTTCTACACTATGTATAATATCAAAATTTGATCCTAAAGAATTTGGAGATTTTATAGATTAATATTTTATTAATTATAAAATAATTTAATTATTATTATTTAAATTAAACTTGTGCAATAAATGAAAAAAAAAAAGAAAAAAAAAGAAGACGAAAATAATTTTATTTGATTGGAGTGTCATTAAAATATATTTTTTAAAAGAAAGAATTCCTTTCAAGTTAAAGAATTAGAAATATTAAAGTAACATTCTAGTATTAGTCTTTGGCTCTATTAAAAAGAGCCAAAGAATAACATCTTATATTTAGAAAACAAGAAGAATAAATAATATATTAAAAAATAAAAGATTTGCCGCAACTTAAAAAATAGCCACTTTCTACTTCTAAATTTATTTGATGTAGCATGTTCACTTTAAAAAGACTAAATAGTTATTAAAAAAATTAAATATAAATTCCATCAATATATTACTCTATTATAAGTATAGATAGAATTTTCTTTTGACCAATTGTTTTATTTGTCATAGCTATGTATTAGAAGAAGATTTTAGAAAGTTCTAAAAGATTTTCAATGATTCTAAGAAGTCTTTAATAGATTCTAACAGATTCTAAGAAGCTTCTAGAAGGTCTTAGAAGGTTTTAAGGAATCTTAAATGGTTGTAGAAGATTTTTAGAGGCTTGCTTTACCTCCAAGCATTAAAAAAAATGTCTCAAGTAGCTTCCTTATACCTAGTATATATATGAGCCAAAGATGAGGAATCATCAATCTTGACAACATAATTCTTAGGGCTCAACTTGAGTCTTCTAGTCTTATTTTTGCATTTTGTTGTAGCTCCTTGTTTATAATATAAAATGAATCTCTTTTATTTCATTTCTTTATACTCTTGAAGTCATATCCTATTCAAGTGGTATATCCATAACATTATCTATCATTATTTGTAATTTATTATATAATATCTAATTTAAAATAATATCAAATATTTGTAATCTTTTTGCATTGTAGATAGAATAGTGTATATTTTTTGTTCTATCAAGATAATTACTTGAGTTTTTATCAACGTCAAAAATAAATATATTAAAATATATATTTTTTAATGATATTATAGAAGTTTTATTTTATAAAAAATAAATCAAAAATACTAACTTGAAGAGTACAATTAGGAAGAAGACCAAAAAAAAAATTACTTAGGAATTGGTTTGAAGTGAGTGAAGGCATCTTGAATTATAAAAGACTTTTCAAAGTGAGAGATGGACTTAGTAGGTTTGGATTTAAAGAAATAAAAAAGGGGATTACAAATTTGAAGATTGTGTAAATAGCATAGTAAATTTATGGGTGAAATTTTGTGAATTTTTCATTGTGTTTGTTATAAATATTTTTCACAAATATGATGTCAATCAAATAGTTAGATTAAAAGATATAAGAGTTTTATTAGGTTAGAGTCTTGAATATATGAAATTTAGTATTAACAAGGATTCTTGTAATCTTAAAAAATCTACTAGTTTGATTAAAGCAAAAATTGGTGAGATAAATTTAGACTTATTTACATATACATCAATCAATTTATAGAGTAATTAAATAGTTCAACAAGGAAAAATTGCTACTAAGAGATAAAAATTCAAGTTGGAGAAGGATGGCAGCAAGTATCCAAGAGTTTTAGGAATTATTTTTTCAATTTGTTAGTTTGTTTTTTCTCAAATTTGTATACTTTTTATTTGCTTGTGGATTGAAATATAGGTAAAATTTTAATTGACATCAATAGTTTAATTAATATTTATTGAAATTTTAAAATGGCTATAGAAATTAATTAGAATTTATTTAAAATTTTCTTAAATTTGATTAGGATTTAGTTAGGATTTGGTTAGGATCTAATTAGAATTTTATTAGGATTTTTTTAGGACTACATTAAGGTTTGATTAGGATTTAATCAAGATATATTTAGAGTTTGCTTAGATTTCATTCTTTAGTACTTTTAAAATTTTCTTTGTTATTTTTTTAATATTCTTATTTTTAATATTCTTTTAAATATATATATATATATATATATATATATATATATATATATATATATGTATTTCTTAAAATATTTTATTTTACCACTTTTTTAGGATTTCTTTATTATTTTTTTTTAAAGATTGATTTAGGACTTCTTTGCTTCTCTTTAATTTAAAAAAATTAAACTTCTTTTGAATTGGTTAAAATTTGATTAGGTTTATTAAGGTTTAATTAGAGTTTCTTCAAGATTCTATTAGACATGTTAAGATCTTGTTGTTGCATTTTTCTTTTCACCTTCTACAACTAGGTGTCCAATATAGTTTCAAGCTAGATTTCATATTATATGATACCATTAACAAAAAGGTATTATGTAACCAAATAAAACCAAAAAAGTAGATGTTGTGATTTAATGATCTTTTTAAAATGCTATAATAAGTTAAAAATTTTATATTAGAAATAGACCTTTCATTCTTTATATCTAGTAAAAGATTTTTATCATGCCATTCTATATGGTGGTTCTAAAAATCAAGACAAAAAGAATTGGTAGAAGTATTAGACTAACATTCTTCATTGTATATGTGATTTAAGATAACAAGAGCCTTCAAGAAATGTACCTTTTAGTTGGGCCATCCAAAACCTTTTATTGTTTTTGTCAATTAAGTCCATATAGTAAGCAATTGCTCAATATGTTTGAACTTGTATATTAAAATGTATGAAGTTATTGCCAATAGCTATTATCTAAAGTTTATAAGATAGTGTACTGAAGTTTAGATGATAGCTATTAGCTAATGTACAAGTATAGACAACATTAAAGTATTATAATTTTTTTATAATTTTTCTATTATATAATTAATCTCAAATTTTTTACATTTAGATTTTTTATTATATATATTAAAAATAAATTCTTTAAAAATATATAAAATTATTAAATTTCTTTTTTTTATTTTATATTTCTAAATTTAATAAATATTTCTTCTATTTGGTCTTCTATTTTGATTATTCTTATTTACTTCTATAATATTTTTTTATTAGAAATTAATCTTATTAATAAATAAAAACACATATTTTATGCTTTCAAATTTAAGTACTTAATATGACCATTTTTAAGGATTTATTCATACATTAGAATAATCTATTGTCTTGAGTGATTTCTATTCAATTTATTATTATTATTATTATTATTATCTATGTTGGTTAGATTAGAGGATCTTGTTGAAAAAATTGTCTATCCTTTTTTGTGTTTTAGGATTAATTTATATGTCCATGTCTTTTATTTTAATGTTTTTATTTTTTATTTATAGCTTCTTCAAATTTATCTTAAATGTGTATTAAAACTATAATAAATCCAAGAAGTTTTCTTCTACTCACTTTTACTATTACTTTTTGTGACTTTATTTAATCATATACATAATCTTCTATTGTTATTTATATAAATCTTTATTTTGTATGTTTTGTACTTTATTGTACTTTATCCAATAATGAGATTTTTACAAGGTACTAAAAAAATTATTTTTTGATACAAAATCTATAAATATATAAAGAAATTATATAAGATCTAAATATTTTATATCATAATTTTTTTTTAAACAGATCATTTAATTTTTTTTATACATAAATCAATGATACTAGCATCATATTTTTAAAAATTACTTCTTCTCAACTATAATTATGCATTGTGAATTCTATGTCAAGGGCAAAAATCTAAACAATTTTTTCAAAGATAACACATCCATATACCATGTAAATTAATACAAAAAATTTTAAAAAATATTAAAAAAATATAAATAATAATAATAATATAAAAATAAAATAATATAATATTAATATTAATATAAAAATTAAAGAATTTTGAATTGGATCTAAATATTATAATCGAAGTTTTGAAGCTAAGTAAACCAATTTTTCACCTAAAAGCCAATGCATAATAAGCCTTGTTATATACAAGAGGTATGTGAAGAAAAATGTATACCTTATAATCAAAATTTATAAAGTGTTGAAGTTTAAAAAGATAATAAAACAAAACAAAAGTTTACTTTATTTAAAAATTCTATTGAAGTAAGAGAGATGCTAAATTGATGCAAATTATGTTTTCAATTTAAATAAAATCTATATTAATTTTAGGTAAATTTTATAAAAATTCTAAATGGCATGCATGTAAACTTGTATCAAAAAAGGGGACATATTTATGTTCTTTTCATTTCTCTTTGTAAGTTGCCGTCTTCAAAAAAAATCGGTAAATTTTTCTAACATAATTATGTTTTCAGACTAAATCTTTAAAAATCACCAAGAAATACTGTAAACACTTCACTACATGTATACACACAAATAACAAGTTGTAGAAAGACAAAAGTCTGCAAACAAGCATATTTCTTATCAACCTAGAGTTTGCAAATCAATCAAGATAATAATAATACATATTCAGGTCTGTATTGCATGCATAGTTATATATATATATATATATATAGACATACAGATACACATCCTCACACAAGAATAGAACTGGAATGCTTCACCAACAAATGGCGATATTATTGGCCCACTGAACAGGAGATGGCTACAAGAGTTAACTTGACAGAGACACCAAATTCATTTCCGACAAGTGAGTGGACCTCTTTTCACTATTGAGCTGCTTCCATTCAAACCCGAGTCAGTGCGATAAGTGTTTGTTTTTTTTGACACTGTTGGTTGATTCTTCCATTTGGCAGATTAGTGGTGAAAGACGCCAAGGAGTTCATTTGAAGAGCGAATCCTGTCACGCTTTCCAGCGTCTGTGAGACGACTTCCGTGTTACCGAAGGCTCGTGGGATTGATACGGTTGGAGCGTACCATGGGTGCAGAGAACAATCAGAAATGGTGCTCATTCATCAGCGCACAGCACAGCCCACCTGCTTTGTGCAGAACCCTTGTTGCACATGACTTTGCATGACCCGCTCGGTGGAAGATGATACCACCAAGTTTATCGCCCAGCTTGTTTTCACGCTCGAGCAAGGACTCACCGCCAGTTCTTTGCTTTAAGATAACTCAAAGTAGTTCTTACAGCAATTTATGATTTTATGGTTTTCTAGTCAGCAACAGTCGAAGATTCCACTCGTGAGTCTCCCACAACTGGGCTTTTCTTGCCTTTCAATGAAGGTTGCGAAGGGTTTTGCAACAAAGGATGTGCAACTTTCCAAGTCTCTTTCCAACCTATTGTGGTGCTTGGCTCTCGAGGATTATCTGATTTCGATCATGCCTTGCCCTTCACCATTCAACCCCCAACTTGTGGCAATGGAAACACAAGATTACTCAAAGCTTTACGAAAATCATAAAATCTTCTTGCTCTTACTCCACCATTAGCTCTCAAATCACCTCATTACCATGTCTTGGATCTGAACCCTCGAAATTGATGTCAATTGAATATGAATACTCAGCAGTCATTTCTTCGGTAGTGGTAAAACATGTGAAAAATCATGGAACACTAAAGGGATAGTTACATGGAGACGAAGGAAGTCAACCCACCCAATCTACTACAGATACTCACAAGGTCAGCCTAGGCCACTTGTGGTCTCGCTCTTTCCATCAACTGTGTCAGAGATGACGGAAGCAGTGAAGCACACTACCGATCATGAGGAGGGGCTTGGGGGGTAAAAGTTTATTGGGGAACAGAAGCTCACAGGGCTCCGTGAAAGATTCGATTCCCACCCCCACCAGCCAACCTCACTCTCTGTGTTACCAATCATTAGCCAGCATCTGCGCTCCTTCTTCGGCCCAAATTTAGTCTGCACCCGTGATCCCGGACACAATCTACGCGGCTTCGGGCAATACCTTATTTAAGCAAGCATCTGGTTGTGGCACAGGACACAATCCCAGAGTGTCATCTTGTTCCCAAGGCTTTACGCGCTAGACTCTATCTGGTCGGGACTGATCACTCATTGCCATAATACTATTTGGCTCCAAAGATTTTGCTCGGACATCTACATGTTCACCTCTATCATTCCCAGTCATCTTCAGACTTTCTTCTGACGCCGTTGTTAACTAGATTGCAGCTTGCTGGTTTCAGGTCCCTTTCGTCACATCACCTGCTCTCATTTCTTCGCTACTCGGGCATTCTACTTTGCTACTTCTCATCTCTACTGTATACCAAGCCGGAAAAGTGAGGCGGAGGGCACGTTTTGGCCAATTCCAATCAACCTCCAATGTGTGAGTTATGCGGCACCTCCATCAACATGGACTGCCCTTGCGGGCCTTGCCCTGGCCAGGTTAGCACAACCTAGAATGGCTTCAGATTCGTCATAAGTCAGGCAAAGCTTACTAATTCAAAGTTCCTAATGAGAAGCACAGCAAGATGAAACGTTCAGAAGCTCTGATCGATTCGAATACAACGGCTTCTGTACCATTTGAAAATTGCACCCGACCCGCGAGACCTTTAGAAAGCATGAAATTCTACCTACAGACAATCTTGCCTGCTGTTTAGATTACAGACCTACTTCCATACTAATCCTCCTATGTCTGAGTTGTGCAGCCCGTGTATGCCAAAGACATAAAGGACGTACCGGCGTGGGCCAAGCAGCATCATGAATGGCCGGTCGCCACGGAGGTTGCAAAATTGAAGGTTTGTTCTGGTCCACAACTTTCCTGCTTACCTCTAGGCGTCTGTCTTGGGCCTGAGATTGATGAACAAGTCCATTCGTGGTCAGAACTGTGAATGGCGTTGTCTAGGTAGAACACCGAGTACCAGTGTCAACCGCGAGCAATTCCACAGTGGAACGAAAGCTACAAACTGACATACATGGAGCTCCGTGCAGAAACTGGAGGTGGAAGTGCAAATGTGCTGCTCTGTATGCGAGCAAAAAGTGAGAGAAGCAGTGTACGGTATGTGCGGTGAGTGATTGCGAAGAACACTAGACGCGCATGAACTCTCATGGTTTTAAACTACGCAGCTAGAGGAATCCAGGAGACACCACCATAGACTCACGAACAGGCACATCTGGTTGCGCAAACCGTGGAGTGGATGCGAACCATTGTGTGGGCTAACTAGTTTTGTGAATGTCATGCAGAGGTGTTCGAATACACAATTGACAGGCCCAATAACAGGCTGACGGTGTATGAATGTCCTAGTGGAGGACCCGACCACAAGAAACTGCTGAAAGCGCTGAAGAAGGCCGTTGGAAAGAAGGCCAAGATTTTGGAGCCCAAGGCTGAACCTGAACCAAATTCTCCCAACCCAGAGTCTTGCCGCTGCCCGTCGAGTGTTATGGTGCCATGGCCACCACCCTGCATTGTGCTCTGCCCCCCCTTCATCACAAACCCCTACTACCTGCACCATCCTACAGTTTGCTACAACTGCTTCATGTATCCGAACGTTGCGTGCGACAGCTGCGGACGCATGTAGCGTTTGCACATGGTGACTTTTCACACCTCCAGAGCAGGAAAATGGTTCTAGACATGACAACCAGCAGTGCTGCATGCTCTTGGAATTCAGACACTGGAAAAGTGAGGAATGGCGCTGGCTAATTTTACTGAAAAGTTACCTCTAGCACAGAGTCAGCAGGTGAGGCTGGCTTCGCGGGAAGCTGGACGCGAATCTCTCAGAGTGCTGTGCAGGAGTTTGGGTGCAACGTGGGGACAGTGGCGCCACGAGAGTGATGTGGGTGGTTCAAAGTCGCTCTTGTCTTGCAACTCTGCCGAGCCCAACAGGACCAGGTTTAAGGTTTCCCAAGTAGTCGAGATTCCAGCCTCGAACATGAGAAATTCTTATTTTGTGAAGTGTTAAGCGATTTCTGATTCCAATCACTGAACTAGTGTATAGAATCCTGTGCAGATGTGTTTCATGTCAATTCAATGTTCGTTGCTTTCATTCATTGCAAGATTTTAGATGCCACTGAGTTGTTTTTTTTGTTTTTTGTTTTTTGTTTTTTTCAAAATGCACCAAGATAATGCAGTGAAGAGGAGATGTTTCCTGATGATTGAAGCTAATTGCAGTCATACCAGAAATACTTGTGTTCTATGGAGGAGATACCCTTTACAGGAATAATCTTAAACTACAGTGCTTCCTGAGGATATGGAATCATTTGGAGTTTGAGTAAAATGTAAAAGCTAATTGAAAAATAAATTGTAATCACTAGAGGTGGTGGTTGAGAATCTTTACAAAGGATTTACAGTAGTTAGAGACATTTGGATTGATGTGGCTTATAATGGATTTTAGTGGTGTAAGTGACTTTTATAGGTAATAAAAGCATAATTTTACTCTATAAAAGTAATCACTGCAATAAATACATACATATTTTAGCTTGTATTCTCTACTTCATTCATTTTTGTTTTCTGTTTGTATATGTGTGTGTGTGTATATATATATATATATATATATATCCACAACATACTTATATACATATTCAATTCTATGTGCAAAAAGTCTGCATGTTTATTTTGATGAAATTGATATATTTTCGAAATATAGTTACTATGTACATGCACTTTATTATGATTTATTAAAATTAATCAATTAAGAATAATAATAATAATAATAATAATAATAATCTTTTTAAATATTTATATTGAAAAAATGTAATTTATTGTCAAGAAAATATTTTTAATAATGCATTCATTGTTGTATTTTTGAATCCTAGTTTAATCTATTTATCTACTATACTAGATTATTAAAATGCATTTGTATAAATAATATTAAAATTAATTATTAAAATGCGTTTGTATTTAACAATTAATACTTATTCTTGCTTCAATCTTGCTTAATTAAGAAGATACATCTCAGGCATTGAAATATATTACATATAGTTTTTGATGAAAAAATTATGAAAACAATTCTAAAGACCTTCAAGTTGTACAATAATGCGTTAAATGCATTAGTTATTTGGAGATATAGGCATGACATGAAAAAAAGACGTTTTTTATTTTTAATTACATTTATAAGAATCAAAAAGAAAGATGCTAGTTTAATCTCTATACTCTACAACATTTGGTTTATGTACCTTTTTGGATTGAGATCTTAATTTTAATCCAAAATTTATATAGAAATCTAATAACTAGCTTTATAATCTAAAACATCAACTTTGATAATCATAAAAACTTAGCTTAGTTTACAATTAAATTATTGTGATTATGTATTTGTACAAGCAAGACAAAATTTATATTATCTTATATTATTTTAATTTTTTTTATTTATCATGACATTGCAATTGGAAGAAATTTGATTGTATATACAAAAATATAAAAATTAGACAATTCAAAGTTAGTTGCAATTTCTTAAATAATTAGAGAGCTACAAATAGGATAAAGGAAAAATTTGAGATGCTTATAGAACACATTAGAATCTATTATTACACAAGTTTTTGTTAAATATAAACAGTTGAATTACAGAAATCAACTACTAAAATTATATATGAAACTTAAAGCAAGAAGTTAAATAACATTAGCCGAAAATTTAATGCATTTTTATCAATTTGTAAATTGGATCTCTTTAAATTTTATTAAAGCATATATATAATTATAAATATAAACAAATAAATAAATAAATAATTTTAAGCTAAAATAATATCTTAATTAGGATCTATTTCGATTGCAATTCACTAATTGGAATTTAGAATATGGTTTGGATTTTTTTAGATTTTTTTCAAAAAAATTTAGGATTTTTGGATTTTAGTATTTAAAAATTGATAAGATTTTAGAGTTTAGAATTATGAAAATAGAAGTTATAGGGTTGATATGATGTTGGTGTTAGGATTAATAAATTATAGAATATAGAATTACTTAGACTTAGTATTATAAAAGAATTGAGAATGTTTTTTTAAAAAATTAATTAATCACCATATTTTTATTATAAAATTAAATTAAAAATTCATCCATAATCTAATGCCTATTAAATTTTCATACTAAAATTTAGCTAATACAACATTGATCCAAGTAGTAATTGGCTTACTTACATTAATATAAAATAATCAAGTTACTTTTTTAAATGCCCCGTTAATACAAAAATCTATACTCAAGAATAACAAACACAGATTTTGGAATTAGCACTAAAAGCATAATAGAATGCTCATATAGAAAATTAATTATAAGATATGTAATACATGTAGAGGATTGATCAAATATTTGGAAAATTAGATAGATTAGGTGAAATGACAAACAATTAGAGACAAGAAATATTTCACCAAAGAATCAAATTATAGTTATGAGAAAAAAAATACAAAGAAGTCTAAGAGATAAAATTAATAGGATCAGCTATAAAGTACGTGAGAACAGCCAAAGCAATCAAATAATCTAGAATTATGAAAGAACCCACTTTCATTTTAGGTACCATATTGCCAATTCCTTCACCACCTTTTCATTTGAACATAAACACTTACCTTTGCATTTAATTCTAATAAATATTATCTTATTAATAATAGAGAGAAAATTTCTTTTTAAGATAGTCAAATAAGTTTTTAACAATTTATTTATTTAAAAAAAAAAAAAAAAAAAACTAAGTAATTATCAACCATTATGAATAAAAAATATTTGAAAAGAATTTTACTAAAAAAATTAATTTTTTATAAGTATTCCAATCTTATGAAGTTAGATATTTTATATTATTTTTAAATTTTTTAGTATGTATCAAAATTTACAAATTTTATAGTTATTTTATAATATCCAATCTAAATATAATGTATATATTGGTTTTTTACCAATAAAAGTTGTGTGGTAAAATAACTAAAGAATTAAATAAAAAAATTAGCAAAAAGTGTTCTTACTTTTAAAGTGTAAACTCAAATTATTTAAGAGATTCTAAAAGAATAAAGTGAGGTAGAATTTATAATCATAGTTCTCTTATTTAAAAAGATTTAATGGCAAAAGTTGGTTTTCATATAAATAATAAAATATTTTAGATCATTATTGACAATATTTTCATAAATTATCATATATTATGCATCTAATATTTATCAGATAAAAAAATATAAATATATGTTATAGATTTATTATAGAAAAATAATTCTTAAATTATTGATAGAAAATTGAAAATTAAAAATTAAAAATATAATTATTTAATACATTCACAAGTGTGGCAAGAAATGAAGCAAGTACATAAAACTTATTTTTTAATTATTTTTATAATTAGAAATTTTATTTTTTCATTGAAGATACATAAAGATTTCCTGAAATAATTAAGAAGATAGAATATGAGTATAGACAAGATTATGATTTATATTGAAAATAAGAAAAAACTTAAGATAATATATTTTTATGTAGATTTGAAAGAAATGTGATAATATGAAATGATCTATTAATTTAATTCTTTATTTTATATTTTAGCTTACAACTGAGAATGATATTATAAAATAATTTAAATTATCTAATTTAAAGACCAATAGGCTCTATCTCAAGTATCAAGAATTTGGTCCTATTCATTATATAAAAAACTTTTTGAATTAAAACATTTAGAAAGTTCAATCAAAATTTTGTAAAGACTAAGTATAATAAAAATATTAGACAATTTTGGAGTTTTTTTGTAATTTTTGGAGCATTGTTGTGAATACCAATTTAAATATGATTAATAATTATAAAGCCAATGGTTTCTTTCATTAAAAATTATTTCAAAAAGAAATATTATTTTAAAATATTGTGAATGCTACCATATTTTTTGTTATTGCCATTACAATTTGCCATCTATTACATTCCTATTTCTGCTCATATTTTTTATTACTTGTTTTTGAATTTTATAAAAAAACATAATTTTTATTATATAAAAAAATTAGAAAAAAAAAAAAAAAAAAAAAAAAAAAACACACACACACATATAAATATGAATTAGATGTACTACTTTTAATTTTTATTTTCATAAATTTATTGCAATAAAATTTACTTCTTATCATATAATATATATTGAGGTTAGCTTTTTTAGCTCTAATTTATTTTTTGAAAATTTTAAACTATGATGAAATTAAATATGTAACAACTTGGTCCATTATATTGATAAATCATATATTTGAAATAAATATTTTTTTACTAGCCTTTGAATTTTTTCGCATTTTTATTTAAAGACTTAACAAGTCTTATCATCAAAATTCAATAGAATCTAATTATAAGTATTTAATAATCTAAAAAAAGGAAAAAATAGAATCTTGGTTATCTAATAATCTTGCAATATGAAGAGAAGACTTAACCAATGGCATCTTGGTCTACTAGTAAGTCTTTAAGAAATTTCATCAGACGCCTTTCTAAAGATAAATTAGTTTTTATTAATGTGTATATGCTTTAGGTTCTTTCAATAGCTAAAGAAAATAAATTCACATCTTTTTTTTTCTTAACTAAATTAAAAAATGAAATCTAAATATAAAGATGAATGTAAATAAACCATTTTTAATTGTTATTATTGCAGAAATTTATTAAATGTCTTACTTTAAAAAAAAAAAAAAAAAAAAAAAAAAAAAAAAGTTCTATCCTTAATAATTTTTATTTATTTTTAGATGATTTTAGTAACATAAATAGTTATATTATTAATATTATATTTAATAAATTAAACAAATTTTATTCCAAATTGTATATAATAAATTTTATATATACTAAATATCTTTAATTTAACATCTATGCTCTTAAATTTAGAAGTAATTATTTTAAGAAAAATCAAAAAAAATTAATCTTAACCATATTTCTATTTTAGGGATTAATTTGGTATTAAATATATATTTATTAGAAGATTGTATTTGGTATCTTTTGCCATTTTGTTTTTACAGTTTCTTTTCCTAAAGTCCATTTTCAAAAGACTGATTTTCTGGGCCTAGTTAAAAAAGCATATCTCAAATTTCTTTTAAATAGTTATGTAATCCAAGTTTAAAAACTTAGAATAGAAAAAATATATATTTAGTCCAATATAAAGGCTTTAAGTATCAATTTAACTCCTAAAGCAATAATGATTATCATCTGATTAAGTATAAACTATAAAATAAAATAAAACTTTATTATTAAAAAATTGGATTGGGACATGGCCAAAGTGGAGATATTTAGAGGAGTGCGAGTGAATTATGATCATTATCAACTATCTTTTATTTTTTTTTTATGTCTTTCAAAAAGGGTAAAGGAGATCAATCCCAAAGAGATCCCTTATTGCCTTTTAAGAGTGGCATTAATTTCTTCTCATGTTCTTCTCTCTTGTTGCCAATTTACAATCTCATTGAGATTCCCAAGTTCATGGATCTCCTTGTTTGTTGGCAAATTATCAAGATTGAAGGAATAGGTTGTAGGCAACCGGAACTTACATCAAGCCACCATGCAGCATTCACATTCAAACAAGGTTTCACATCCAAAATTAACACTTGGATTTTGTATTATTTTTGATATACATTATTAAGTTGATAGGATGTATTTTGGATCCTAGGCTTCTACTTAAAACATATACTCACTCTTTTCATAAGTCTTGAACCATAATACTTGTTTGCCTAGGTTGTGTCATTAGCAAAGTCATCTTCATTTGAACCTACATGTCCTTGCCTACAAAAGAGCTCGTCTCTTCTCCTTATGCTCCACTTGGTGATGTTTGCTTTAATCCGCGTCATGCCTCATGATTGATGCTTCCACCACATTTGATAAGACAAAGTACTCTTCTCTAGTGTAGTAACTCATACACTCTCAATATGAGTATCCTCTTAATATCTAATGACTTTGCCTCAGCACCTAATTATGCTTCTTATTATACACTGCCTTTGCAACCCCACTACTATTGATGTCCACATTGAATGTTGATAGTCTATGCATTGTGACACTCGTGCCTAGAGAATATATGCACATTTGACACAATAATGCAACCATTATGACCATCAATTCCCATATGTTTTGCAGTTCAATGTACATGGGGTTGTCATTGTGATCCAAGTGGTGCCTCTACTACATCATCATACTACTCTTCTTATTAAAATCCTACCATGTTTACATTTGTTTTCCTAAATTTCAATGTAGAGATATAGAAGAATATCCTACCCATGTCAATTATCCTTGCAGTCTTAGATAGTGCCTTGTATTGACTCACTATTCTACCTAATTCTTTGTTTTGCCAATTTTTTTCTCGGACGTGGTGATCTTAGCCTACAATGTCCTACATTTGAAACAATATTCTATAACGTCAGTGTTGTCATCAAAATTAGATGGTCTGAGTTTCATGTGGCTTTTTGTTGCCACAATTGAAAAATACTTTGTATTTAGTTTAGTAGTGTGTGAAGCAATTATAGGTATATGGTGACATCTTTTTTGTAGTTGAATAGTTTAAGATCTTTGATGCCTAAGGAGTTGTATTTTGGTCCTAATTTATTCTTTGCAAAAACATGTTGAATTTTAGTATGGCAAGATTTATAAATACATAAAGCCATCTAAGTTTATTGAAGGCTAACAGTTAGCAATGTTTGTTTCATTAGTTTGATGTATCCCACTTAATTCAAAGTTTGCATAGACATTGGATGATTGTAAGCTTTTTGTTATATCTAAATCAAGGATGTTAGTAAACAAGTAAACCTTTAATATGAAACTGTTGCAAGGTTAGAAGATGTCTTAAATTTTTTTAAAGGTTTATCAAAATTGTTCCAATCTTGCCATACTAAAATTGGAAAGACAGTTTCTCAAAAACTTACAAATAAGAAGAGGTTTGCTTTTCGAAACTGTTACTGTACACATTTGATGTACTGTTTTGACTGTGTTTATGAGGCAATTACTGTAGTCAGGGTGTATGATTACGATTTGTTACCACGATACACACAATGTTTTCTATGCCGACAAAGAGGTTTGCTGCATTGATGTATGGTCACTTTTCTAATAGAATGGAGAAGGTGTTTTGGCTAGTGGCAAGTATGGCTAATAATTATCTGAAAGTGTTGAGTTGGTGCAAGGAAATTCTAGCTAGAAGAAATGCCATTTAGTTGAGGTGATATTTTCAGGCTAGTTAAGCGACGTTTAATATCATTAATATTGAATTTAAAGTGTATTTCTACTATATTGGGGCATTACGTTGTAATGATCATAGTTTATAATTTATTTGGGACTGCTATTTGTGCACACATGTGTGTAACACATCTTTACGTCCGCAGATATACCATCAATTCCATCTCAGGGCTCACTTTACATATTAACGAATCAAGGAGATTTCGGTTCTCATTAACCAATTCAATTATAAATTGTTTCAGGAGAAAAAATGAAATTTGAATCTGGGTCTACACCCGCCTCTCGACAATGAGAGGCGTTCCTGTCTCTTATGCAAGAATTGACCGAAAAAATTGTCAAGTGTACAATCCCACACAGAACCAACTCACAATCAAAAAATTAGGGTATTTGCGTATTCCATTTAGTCGACCTCCTCGATCTTTGGGCCAGCACCGGATGGGGGTGAGTCGCTTCCTCCGTAGGATGGAGGAGCACCCTCACCTCCTGCACCTCCCTGGTACATTCTGGCGATGATGGGGTTGCAGATACCCTCCAATTCCTTCATCTTGTCATCGAACTCGTCGCTCTCTGCCAACTGGTTCTGGTCCAACCACTGGATGGCAGCCTCCACAGCCTCCTCAATCTTCTTCTTGTCGGCGGCATCCAAGTTCGACGCAATCTTCTCGTCCTTGATAGTGTTCCTCATGTTGTAGGCGTAGTTCTCCAGTCCGTTCTTTGCCTCGATCTTCTTCTTGTGGTCCTCGTCTTCAGACTTGTACTTCTCAGCCTCCTGCACCATCTTCTCAATCTCGTCCTTCGACAAACGACCCTTGTCGTTGGTGATGGTGATCTTATTCTTCTGGCCCGTCGTCTTGTCCTCGGCAGACACGTTCAAGATACCGTTGGCATCAATATCGAAGCACACGGTGATCTGGGGCACACCACGCGGGGCAGGGGGAATTCCGGAAAGCTCAAACTTTCCGAGCAAGTTGTTGTCCCTGGTCCGTGCCCTCTCTCCCTCGTACACCTGGATCAACACTCCTGGCTGGTTGTCTGAGTAGGTAGAGAAGACCTGCTCCTTCTTGGTGGGAATAGTCGTGTTCCTGGCAATCAACACCGTCATTACACCTCCTGCCGTCTCGAGTCCCAAGGACAGGGGGGTAACATCCAATAGTAGAAGGTCCTGGACCTTCTCGTTGCCCTCTCCAGACAAAATAGCAGCCTGGACAGCTGCACCGTAGGCCACGGCTTCGTCAGGGTTAATAGACTTGCACAACTCCTTCCCGTTGAAGAAGTCCTGAAGCAGCTGTTGCACCTTGGGAATACGGGTGGACCCTCCAACCAACACAACATCGTGGATGGAAGACTTGTCCATTTTTGCGTCTCTCAAGGACTTCTCCACCGGCTCCATGCACTTCCTGAACATGTCCATGTTCAATTCCTCAAATCGAGCACGGGTGATGGTAGAGTAAAAGTCGACACCCTCGTACAGCGAGTCAATCTCGATAGTGGTTTGAGCAGTCGATGAAAGGGTCCTCTTCGCCCTTTCCGCGGCGGTCCTCAGCCTCCTAAGAGCACGGGGGTTACTGCTGATATCCTTCTTGTACTTCCGCTTGAACTCCTGAACAAAATGGTTCACCATCCGGTTATCGAAGTCCTCCCCTCCCAAGTGAGTATCTCCGGCAGTAGCCTTAACCTCGAAGATACCTTCCTCAATGGTCAGAATAGACACATCGAAGGTACCGCCCCCTAGGTCGAAGATAAGGACGTTCTTCTCACCTACAGAGGTAGCCTTCTTGTCCAAACCGTAGGCGATGGCAGCAGCGGTTGGTTCGTTGATAATACGCAACACGTTCAAACCGGCAATCACCCCGGCATCCTTGGTTGCCTGTCTTTGCGAATCATTAAAGTAAGCAGGGACAGTCACCACTGCGTTCTTCACAGTCGAACCAAGGTAAGCCTCAGCGATTTCTTTCATCTTAATGAGCACCATGGAGGACACCTCCTCAGCGGCGAATGTCTTCTCCTCACCCTTGTACATCACGCTGATCATGGGCTTTTCTCCCGGTCCTGGGGTGATCTTGAAAGGCCATAGCTTCATGTCACTCTGGACTGAGGCATCGCTAAAACGCCTTCCAATGAGCCTCTTCGCATCTGCAAAGATATCAATATGTTAGCGTATGGTTAAATCTATGAATAAAATCATCACGCTAAATCTCATACCCACGTGCACACTACCTACTGGTTTCGGAGGACGAACAGCTCCACATATACAAAATCTACGTCACTTCCAACAGGATAAAATGCCGACATTTCGTGCGACGTATGGTAGCCACATCACCCGCGGAGCTAAAGTGAGCGTGAATATTCATTTCATGCAACATTCTAATTTTTTGACCTTGAGAAGCTTAGAACGAAAAAAACTAAGACCATGTTCGGCCAGATCTAAACATCTGTCAACCCGAGAACGCTAACCTCTGAACCATGCAACACTGACGCAAGTCATGACTCGCGGGCAAACTCACAAGTCCCCATCTTGAAAACAGTCAGCTCTAGACAATTGATACTTCAAAAAAAACAAAAAAAAAAAAAAAAAAAAAAAAAAGGGGGGGGGGAGAGCGGCAAGCCACTTACCGAATACAGTGTTGGTGGGGTTCATGGCCACTTGGTTCTTGGCGGCGTCACCAATGAGACGCTCCGTGTCGGTGAAGGCAACATAACTGGGCGTGGTCCTGTTACCCTGGTCATTTGCGATAATCTCCACACGATCGTGCTGCCACACACCCACGCAGCTGTACGTGGTGCCAAGATCGATACCGATGGCAGGACCCTCACCCTTGCCGGCCATGGCTGCTGCGCTTGCTTCTACGCCCTCTGCTCCAACAAATAAGATCTGACAAGAAAGAAGGCTCTACTCCGCAAAGTCACGTAACTAGTGGTGCCTCGGATGCGGACCACAAAATGGATGATAATAAAGTGCTGAAGGGCACTAAGTATCAACGGTGAGGAAGGCAGAGGAAGGTCGGGGAAGCTTTCAGAAGGTCTAGGAAGCTTCTTCCTAAAAAACCCTAACCCTAATCTTCGGATCGGTTGCCGCATTTCCCCCAAGTCTGCAGACTTAAGCACGTTATGGTCGGCCGCTTGATCTGTTTGAAGTCTGCGGCTTGAAATGCTTGAAGTCTGCAGCTTCAAGTAGTTTGAAGTCTGCCATATAAAGTTTTCGAAGACTTATTGAAGCCCAGTCCCCATTCTGGACGAAATCTCGCGACGATCGTTGACGGGATCGGCTGAACTTCGTTACTGGACTGTTTCTCGGACCTGGTCAGTTCAGTTTTGCGCTGGCACCGTCCGAATATAAATCCTGAGGTTGGAGTAATATGAAATTAAATTATTTAATTGGGGACCCATCGAATTAAAAAATACGTATAAAATTCTGGAAAAAGTTGTTGGTAAAAGCGCATGTGTGTGTTTGTGTGTGGGTATGTACATATAATCATAAAAAAATGCCTTTCTCCACTTGCATATTAACATAGGGCCAAATTGTGAGACACCATCTCAACATACAAAACATTTGCATTTTTTACACTAACTTCACGACTTTGATAATAGATACTCGTGATATTCAAACAAAACAGTTAATATTATTTTGCTGGTATTGTGTTATTATTTTCATAGATTCGATTCTCTAAAACTGGTGTGTGCTAGAAATATGTTTTTTAAGATATCAATTGAAGAATTATCCTTTGCATATCTATTGATAGTCCGCTGTTAAGTATCACATAGTATGTTCATAATGATCGTAGTAAAAAGTAAAAAATACAATCATAAATGCATCTATTAAATTGACATTTACATCATTTTAAAAAAAACAAAATCCCTCACAAAATATGTTTTCTATGTAATAATATTGTAATTGTTGTGTTTTTTTTATGTTTTTTATTATCTTAAGTTACACAACTCCAAAAAAAAGTGCTTTTAAATGATGTTTGCCATTCACAAAGACTTTTGACTAGTCAATGTCGAAGTAATACATGAAACTGTAAGATTAAGAACAGAAATTAACACTCTCAATCTTGTCAACTATTCTCATTCTTGCCATTCTCTGATATTCTAAATTGCTAGGACTACATTTTTTTAACGTATGCTCACTTCTTTAACATAGATGAGGTTGGGATTATATATATTCAGAGCCATCAACCAGATGAGAACATTAAAGTTGAGCAAAACGTCTCATCTATATATTTTCAAGCATAATACATGTCTGGAATAGGCACACAAACCAGGATACGATTTAAAGCATTAGACAGCAGGACATCAGAAAGAGTGGAGTATGGAACAGTAATCTTTACAAAACGCATGATTTAATTTGACAAACCCAATTTTGATCTGTCCTTCTCTGACCAACACGTTACACAGATGCACATAGCATCATGCTATCTTAGAGAATTGTACAATGCCAGCAGTTTTTGAAGTCAATTAGTACTAGTTTTCTCTAAATGATTCTTTCAAAGATCTACACATCTACGAAATGTAAGAAGCTGCATTCACATGCTTGTGTATGCTGTGATACTTTAGTTGCAATTGAGCATTGCTCTAGAATATTCCGATGGGCTGTCTCTACAAACCCATATAAACTAATCCTGTTAAGTCTCTTCCATAAAAAGAAAGAAAGGGGACAAATTTGAGAGTCTGTAGGAAAAAGTAGGAAATATGTTCAACATTTGACTACTTGGCCGTTCGTCCATACGCCCATCTACCTCTGAATCTCGAGAGAGCATTGATATGTCCCCAAGTTGGTTGATAGCAATCAGGGAACAGCTACAATGCCTGGCGGTGCGCTGTAATTTCCATCATCAACTTCTTTGGAGAGGAGCTCCGTCGGAATTAACTTAGGTTTCGTTTTGCTGCGAGTTGTGCCGTATCCGAGTGAACTCCCACTTGCCTCCGACAGCTTCACATGATTAAATAATTAACATAGGTGAATTTTTGTCGAAAAATTATGGTGATTCAAAATTTAAAATATGAGTAAATGTAGAGGAACGTCCCTAATCTAGTGGCTCTTTTTAGGGTGCTTGAAGATAAGGTACAACTGCCAAAATCCTTGTACGGAATTTTCATGAAAGTGTCGAGGAGTACCTCTGTGAGTTCTGAGAGATGATTGGTTCGGAACTGGTCAATTGCCGCAGCGATCTCTGATGCTGGTAATTTAGCCTTTGACAAAATAAACAATCGAAAACAAGAAGGTAAGGATCGAAAGACCGAAATTCACAAGACTACTAACTCTCAAGCACTAATAATTCAAACAAACAATGACCTAAATACATTCACAACAATTCCGGTCAAATAAAAAAAGCCCGAACCTGAGCAAGAATAGCAGCTGCTAACTGCAAACTAGGCTCCAATGTCTCTGGCACGACCTGGAATCATAACAAAGCAATAGTCAAATGAAACTGGCTCACGCATTTCTAAAAGTGCCACACAAAGTAATACAAAGATGAAAACATTCGCCAAGCAAGACTCGCGTTCAGAATAAGTATCCATCAGACTCAACCACCTATAGTGCTCCACTGTTCACACCTCTAATTCTTGCAATCATATGCAACACATAATGATACTTTAACTAGACCAAAACCCTTCGGAGCCAGAACATACCGCAGTTGCTCCAGCCTTCTCCAAACTCATTCCATGATCCACATCATGAGCACGCACAAACGTCTTCACATGAGGATAGTACTTGCTTAAAGCCCACACCGTTCGGTAGTTCGCTCCAGGTGTGTCTAATGCTATGACAGCTGCAGATGCCCGTTCTGCTCCAACTTTATGCAATATCTGTAGCCAGTTCACCCATGATTAATTTTCTGATCTTCTAGTGTTCTCAAATGTTAGCAATAGATGTAATAGAGTGGCAAGTAGGCTATCTTAAACATAAAAGAACGTTGGACTTTACCATTTCAATATCTGCCTGCCTAAGATCACACGCAGCATCAGCATATGTGGCACAAAGGCGAGGAAAAAACTTTGACATTGAGATGATCAATACCTAAGCAGTCAATGCTAAAAATAATACAAGGATATAAGAGGTGAGGATGCACCTCTCGGCTTCCTGCGTCTCCGAAAAAGACAGGCAAATCCAGTGCTCGTCCCATACTAACACGCTCACTGTCAAATTTAGATCATCTTAATTGTGAGCGTTTCTTTTTCGAAAGAAGCACGATTATATGGGAAACAAGAACCTCGCCAAAGACAACCAGCTTATTCATTCTGCGATAACTAGTGTTGTTAAAATCATAAACAACAAAATAATATAGAAGTGATAAACATGGTCACGGTAGAAACTTTATCTAATCAATGTGACACTCACCTTCGCACATCAAGTGCTACAAATGGTATCAACCTCTCAGCCAATAATTGTGCAATAATCTGTCCAGAATAGCATATCCAAAATCAGTTTCTCGTCTTCAAACCAAAAATTACAGCATTCTTAACCTAAAACCATTACAAACTGCTCTCTAATCACAATGAATCCTCTTAACGTTTTCAGCGTGAAGGCAAACCATTTTCAGTGTTCAAATATACACTACCGCATAATACAGAACAACGAGTAGTCAAGGATTGAGTTGCAAATAGTTTTAAAGAAAACACATACCTGTCCTACTCTTCCAAATCCACAGATAATCATGTGATTTTGGAGATCGTCGGTCTGCATGCAGAATAATTAATTTGCATCAGATGTATGGTTAATGTTATTCCCTGATCCGCCAATTCAAGGACAGCATGAAATGAAGTTTAGTCTCTACAAATTGCTAAGAAAGTACCTCGCTTTCCACAGGTAGTAGACTTCGAACGTCTTGTTGATCAAAGCGACTTGCAACGAGCTGACCTCCAGCAGCAAGCCACGGGGTAATAGCCATTGACAGGCCCGTCACTAAGAACAGTAAAGATGACATTTCGGCAGACATGATCCCCTGTGTATGTGTGAACATCACCCAACATGAGAACAAATCTAAAGCAACATGGTTCTTTGTTTGAAGACTGTGCAGCTATTTTTAATCCCCGAAAGTTATGTTAACAAGATTCATTGTTTTTAAATCAGATTTAGCGCTTGCCTGATTCACCGCTTCACCAAAAGCGACAAACGCAAATTCTCCACCAGGAGCCAGGAAGAGCCCGGCACGTACAGCAGCAACAGTTGAAAGGCCAAAGCATCGACCCAAACCAGTCACGATCAAAGTTTTCCCAACAATTAACAAAGTAAGTGCACCCATAATCATAGGAAATTTGGCCACCAATAACTTTGGGTCTATGGACATGCCCACCTGCGCAAAGACACCCACATTTACTAGCTCAAAGAGGTGCTAAAATCATGCTACGAGCAAATCTTTGGATCAAAGATACGAGGGTGCGTACTAAATCAACAATACATGAAGTCTTCTCAGCTATTTGAGAACTCTTCTAGTATCACACGGTAAGAAACTTACCGTCATAAAGAACAGGCCGAGTAACAATCCTCGATATGGGGCAATATCTGACTCAACTTGCAGAGCAAATTCAGTTTCAGCTAGCAACAAGCCTGCTAGAAAGGCTCCAAGTGCCATTGACAAGCCAGCCTGTTCCAAAAAACCCCATTAGATTCAAGCAGAATCAACTTGCAGCAAACTTAGCACAGTAAGTCCAGATATTGCACTCAACAGGCATTTAGATGCTGATGTACAAAACTGAATGCTCTAAGCACAGAGCATTGCAGCACAAAGACTTTCAATAAATCATTTTTCTAAGTCTAGGACTCAGGGACAGGACGAAATTTTGAGTGACAGTACGAGTAAAGTGACTTTTTGAAGTAAATTCGATAAAACCGCCTCTCAATTATGTCCAATTCCTGAGTGCTAGAAATGCAAATGTGATCTATTGCATTTACATAGAAGTCACGTTCGCAAATTTGATGAGAAGAACAGTAGGGAACAATTACATACCCGTGCCGTTAAGAAACTTGTACCAAGAACCACCAAAAGTGTGTTTGCTGCAAATATTTCTGCATTGTGATTATCTGCCATGCGCTTATATACAGGTCGTAAAAGCTGTACATAGACATACAAAAATCATTTAAATATTAAGTTTGTCAAAACTGAGCAACCACAATATGATTATCGACTCCATAATTAATGCACAGTAGTAAAGAAACATCCAAACAGGTTATATCTAACTAGAATTCTTTTACGTCCTTTTCCAGCCAAATAGCTGAATAAACCAAATAGATGCGTGGAGCTGGAATGGGGGCAAGCAATTTACGAACCAGTCGACCTCCAGCTATGATAACAGTTATTGCAGCAACAGCCTTGACAGCTGCCAATCCCAAAGCCTCAGCAATAGCTTGAAATCCCACCTAAAAAGCCCAACAAGAAAACAAATAACGCAACTTTTAAATCTGACTTACTGTAAGATCTCAAAGTGAATTACCAAAATGAAGCACCTCATGTCAAACATAAAAACATGTTCCTGACTAAAATCTCAGAGTTGGCGAACCTACCCCTCCTTTCGACGAATTAGGAGACAAAAGGGGAATTAAAATAAGCAACACCACTACTGCCAAATCCTGCACGCCCACGATGCACTACAATGTCAAGTTCCATACCACACAAAAATAGACTTGTACAAGCATCGGTAATTACAAACCTAGTCTGAATTACTGAATTTAGTATTTCTCGACTGACCTGAAACAGTAACACAGAGAAGGTAGCCCGGCCGTGTCTAGATGTGCTCTCACCGCGTTCTTGCAATACCTGTACATTGATATATCTCTTAATAACAATATCATACAACCTTCGCATCATACTTCTCCACGGCATACGTCACTGTTTCCAGTAAAATTGAACCAAAATCAATTACAGCTACAACTTTTCTTATGAAATAGTAAGCGCCATCGCAAGTAAATTGAAAAGTAACAGACCTGAAGGACTACAGCTGTTGAAGAAAGAGCAAGCCCATTTCCAATAACAATTGCGGCAGGACCGGATGCTCCAGACACTAGAAATGTGAAGTAGCCAACGGCCACAGCAGTTGCCAATACCTAAATCACCAGAAACGGAAGTAAATCTAAAGTAACCTTAAACATATCAGCAATAGAGGTGGAAAAGCTGAATCTGATGAACTAATAATAATCAATTCCACTTCAAAATTGGACATGTCATTTCTTGCGCTGAATCAAGATCGAGGATATTCCAAGTAGTTATTACTTCCCTATACAACCCTAGTTGGACGCCAAATGTGCCAGTACAATGAGAGTTTCAGTGGCAATTCAAGTTGCTTATGTATACACCACAAAACACGCACCATTTGCATTGCCGAGGAAAAATAAATATAACCTATATTTTAAACAGAGAGATACCTGAGCTGAGCCAAATCCAAATACATACTTCTTCATGGAGCTCAGTCTCTCCACCGACAACTGCAAAAATACAACCGATCGAACAGAGGTCAATCCCCTTATTGTGGTATCATAAAAAAATTGGAAACATAAAACAAAAAAGACTTGCAAAGCAATCAGAAGAAAAATGGACTGAATCCTGCAAGCTCTGCAACCTTGACACGATTTTGAGTTTTCAACTTAATACCAAATATAGGTACTTGTGATAAAAGTTACGTTGGTAAAGACTACAATATTAGTTGCAATCGGAATGTAGAATATGCTGATAAAATCACAATGGGTAGATGATAACCCAACAAAATTCTACATACCTCAAGACCAATATTGAATAGCAAGAATACAACTCCAAATTCACCAATGGCCTTCGTCCCATGGACATTCTGAATGATTGAAAGCGCATATGGCCCAATCAACACACCAGCAGCGAGATATCCTAGAACGGGACTACCTGTTTAGACAGAAGGAAATAAGTTAAAAGACAGAAAGCTGACTGGTGCCAAATGTAATTACCCCCGTTTGAGAGCTATTCACCAAAAAACAGAGTCGGTAATATCTTACTAGTAAAAAAATTAAAAAGATAAATAGGGCACCTGGCACTAACCACTGGCATTTCCTCTAAGTCAGAGAAGATATAAAATCGAACGGTTAGTCCCATTCAGAACCACAAAACTCGTAAACCTCATTCAAATAATTTTCTAAAGCACAGCTAACATACAAAAATAAGAAGAATAATCAAACAATAAAGAGAGTTTGTGAGTGTGCGCTCTCATATATGCAGGATATCCTCATACATGACGCAGCCTATATACCTCAATGGAGACGCATACATGTCAATTATGAAATTTGGAAGAATAAATTACCTCCTGGAATCTTTTGAACAAGGGGAACAAAGACGACACTAGCCAAGAGCAGCCAGAGGACATCGAATAGTGATGTTTCTTCCTCATTTAGCTGCAATAACAATTTGCAACGAATATAAGGCATATAAAGATAAAGGTCGGCGTTTCAGGGGTAGACGCAGTAGTTCAGAACCGAATAATCACAGGATGAAGCAGAAAACTAGAATTAAACAACTCACCTCCTGACGTGGAAGCTTTTCTATCAACTTCTTCACGCGTTTTGGTATCTTTTTAATCTCTTTGATCAGTGGCCTCCCTTTCTGCTGAACCTCTATGCTGGTTGTAGAGGGCGGAGTCTCAAGTAGTAGAGCCCGCTTCTCCATGCGATTGTTTAGGTAAGCTCCACTACAAAACACAAAAAGAATGTTAAAGAAGTCTTCGTGACTGAACTATAAACGGACAATACCGCTAAAGCTCATCATACGAATTTCTATCCAAGAATGAACAGCTTCATATCTTGGCAATCAGTCCATACTTTTAAAGTTCTACAGTCTCAAAAGTTTGATTTATCAAGTAATGGGAAGCAAAAAATAATTCCAGCTAAATAAGTATCTCATTACCCAGCAAGCAGTAACGCAGCGGCAACCCCCACTTTGCCAAGATGTGCCCGAGCTGCAGTTGCAAACTCTGAAAAAACTGTACTAGGTGTAAACTCTCCTTCATCGTCGGTTGAAAAATATGAAGCGGGAAAAAATCTTGAAGATTTCTTAGTTGAGGATTTGGGCTCCGGCTTCTTAGCTTTTTCAGCTTCTCTGGGAGGTTCCACTTCGTTCCTAGTGCCCAAATCACCGTCACTTTGTTTAGCTTGCTTTTCCGACGGGGTTGTAGATTCCACCACATTCAAAGAGCTACTAAAGCTTGCCCGCCCATGAAGAACCAAGATGTCTTCGAGCTGTTACAAACAGATGCGGAGGTGCTGATTCAGCGCATAAATTATGACAATAGAAAAGCTGATAAACTGAGGGCTGAAAATCAAGCCAAAAAGAGCTATATACTTTTTAGATAGACACTAAATTTGATCACTTGCTGCAGTCATTGTCCAGGCATCATTGTGCTGGTAGGACAACAACTCGGATGCAGGGCAAATCCAGTGTTCCAGAAGGATGCACCCCGCTGTGCAGATACCCAGGTATCCAATGTATCGTCATTACCCAACGGAAGAGATCCAAGCGACTACATTGGACATAGCGGAAAAAAGAAAAAAGAAAACAAAACAAAACAAAACAAAAATAAAATAAAAATAAATAAAAAATAAAAAAAGCAAAAAATGTGACTACCTTCTCCTCCACTTCAGCTTCAATTCTATCCTGTTTTCCATCATCTTCCTGTTTCAATTCGGTTTCTAGCAAAAGCACTTCAGCTGTTTTCGCGACTTGCAAAGAAAGCTTTTCTGCAATATCCACAGCCGCGAGAGCAGACGCAGCCTGGACAGCATCCTTCTTTGATCCCTCGGCCTTTTGAAGTGCAATCTCACCGTCACTAACTCTTTGAGTTGCTTCAACCTCCATAGCAACAGATTCTTCTGCGAGCGACATAGCTATGGCAACTTCTGAATCAGCCGCAGCTGCGGCAATTCGTGCATTTTCAAACGTCTCGCTCAATAGTGCTGCCTTCTCCAGAATCTCCATTTTCAAAAACTGAGTTTGAGACAGTTCTTCTTCACATTTTGAATATTCAGCTTCTTTTTCTTTAAGTGCTGCAAATGCAGCTTCAATCTCTTTCTCGCACTGCAATATCGTAGCATCTATCTGATCATTGCTAGTGATCCCCTTCTCCTGCACCTCTACGGTTTCAAGAGCAGCTTCAGCATTAACATCTCTCACTTCAACATCTACCTTGTCTTCAGTTGCGATGTCCAGATTCCCTTCAAGCTTGCCCTCTTCTGTGCCAAATGATCTTTGCAGACTAACCTGAACCGCATCTGCAGAAGTCTCTCCGCTTCTAGCTATCGACTGTGCAGTTTTCAAAGCCATTTCAGCCCGTTCTACCCGCTTCTGTGCAGCTTCGTATGCAGCTCTCGAAGACGCTAGCGCCACTTCACCTGTAACAAATTTCTATGTTATTAAATTTAGATCACTCAATATTGTCAGACTAACATACCACGCCATGGGTCTGTTTCATAAGGTTTGAGCGCACCGTCAGATTCTCGCTGAAGGATGTTCTCAACCTCCGCCTTGGCGTCATTAGCAGCCCTCTCTGCTTCCACTGCCTCCTCTTGCAGTGTCATGGCCTTTTCAGCCACCTTCAGCGCTTTCTCTGCCAACCTCTCAGAATTCCTCCTCGCCATTTCAAGGTCCTCTTGAGCCAGTCTCAAAAGTTCCTTCAATATGGCGGCAGGAGACTCGCGCTCCATATTGCACATGTCTTGATCTTCAGCTGCTATAACATTACATTAATTTGAGCGAGGAGGTAAAAATACATTCCACACCTAAAATTACACACCGGTTATAGAAAAGGAACATTTTTTTTCATTACCAATCGTTGAAGTCGGCTGTGTAAAGCTGTAATTTTAACCCCAATCACCTGACACTGTATGAAAGTACGAATCGAAATACCTCAATCTCCTGAACATATAAGTACAATCGTAGGACGACTTGATCGAGCTACTAATACGAGCTAAGAAGAATGTGGACCTCAGCGATTCGAACTCACGCTAAGGGATACAAGGATATGCTGCGAGTTAGACTTGCAAATCGAAAACGAACACATATGAGTCCATGGGACGTTGAAAAGGTGAATTGCACTGTTTCATACACGTCAAGGTGCCGTATTCAAGATTCTTCTGATGTAGGAATCGACCTAATTCTTGGTATTCGGTATAAATGCAGTTCGTACAATCAAGCTGAAGTCAAGGTTTTACCCGGAGATTGACCTGCATCAGCAACATCAGAGGCAATCGGCGAGCTATTGCTGTCACCATCTGAGGTCCTCGACTTCCCTGAAACATCTTCCAACCCCTGACCCCCATCCGTCTCACACTGCACGACTACTCTCCGCCTTCCATTTTTGTTTCCACCACATTGCACTCTCTTCTGCTTCCCAACGGCAGCTAACCTGCTTTGACCTGTCGAACATACTCCAATCGCATCACAAACTAGCGGAGAATGGCTCTTCCTCAAGCTCCAGCACGGAGTAACCACATTTGATGACAAGCCCGCAATTTCTTTTTTGCTCGCAAGAGATGGCAGCACTGGCGACTGCAGGGACGAGAATCGGGGAAGCAAGGACCGACGGTCCAACATCCTTGGACATATCATCTTCAACTCCTTCTATCCTCACAATGCAACTATGGTAACCGCGCCAACATCAACCGATTCTGGCCACAAATGCTTGCTCCTCCGACTTGAATTCCCTGCCCTTCGCCCCACTCAATTCTCATGCGATCAAGCCACCACAATCCCCGAATCGCTCCATTCACACTACAAAACCACATCATCACACTGAAACCTCAAAATTCGCAAAACAAATTGTGAGTAAATCGCCACGAAACTCCCATAAAACATCTTGAACCCAAAACCCCAGTTGCAATTCAACGATCCATCAACCCATCTCCACCCTTATATTTGCATCCCAAACCCCAAACCACCAAGAAAACACCTTAAAATCCTGCACATAACTTCTGCAGCGGCAGAAAGCCAACATACCCAACTAAACTCGCTCCACCGGACGCTACAGCAGACGAACACAGCCACCCCAGAGTTTGAAATGACGAGAGAAAGACAGAGAGAGAGAGAGACAAGGCGATGGACCAGACGCCAGCGTACACCGAATCGCGGTGTCAACGCCGGGAAGGGACGCAGCGATGGCAATGCAAATGGCGTTTAGCCATAAAACTGGCTGGACTTCCCAGCGTTGGCGATGTCCAACGGGTGGACCCCCAGTCCTTGTGTATCAATCAAATAAATGCCCCAATCCTCCATCGCCACGTCAAAATTTGCCACCATCGAAGTAACACCAATTTAGTTATCGAACGTTTAGTTCTCCTTAAGGCTCCCGTGCCTTTTTAAGTGATGAAAACCATTGAGTTATCGGCGAACATTCCTCTACGAATCCCACCCTTGTGTGTCTTAAATCATTCCCCCCATCCTGACTCATTCTCTGCAAACCATCCACTCCACTGGCTGCAGAAACTGAGTTCGTTCATGTCTGTGACGAAGACATCAATCCAGAGGAAAAAGGCTGTTGCCCCTTCGGATGAATGAGACGGAGTCAGAGCATATCCCCTGCAGGATGCGAAACTGTTCAATTGCGGCACTGGTAACCAAACCAACTAGAGATTCTCCGACGCACAGTCTACCAACGAACAACAGATATTTGCAACCCCTAAACTCAAGGATCTCGCCGCTCTCTGTTGCTGTCCTCTTAACGCCACTAACTCTATCACGAAGCCCAAATACGAAGAAGAGCTGTGTCCACTGTGCGTTTTGGCACACATGTTAGAAGAAGCCATTCGACTGTGCGAGCATTGACGTCGAAGCTTTCCTGTGTTCCAAGCTCACAAGCATTCGTGTTGCGAATCCGTGTAAAGCTTCATAAACTGGCTCGAAGTGCTTAAGCCACCATGACTTACAACAGAAGTGGAGAAAGCATCCATTCTCCAAGGTAGCTTCTCATACCCGGGATACCCGGATATAACTAAGGGTATCCACAATACCGGGTATCGGTTTCAGTCGTAGGATATCAATTAAGTTGGGGGTGTCGATGGCCGATACCCGTTCAGTGGATCCTCGAACAAAGTGAAAATGGTTTTTCATGTCAGAATGTATAATCTTTATTTATTGTTATTATTTTAATGTTGTGTATGGCATGTGAATTCGCCTGAGAAAATGGAGTGGAATCAGAATTTTATTTTAGAAATTCCGAAGTATTTTTCTAATATTTTTAGTAATAATGTTATATAACATTAGTGGGGTCATCACTTTATAATTTATTTGTTTTTTCAAATTTTTCATAGTTTTGTTATACATTTAAAAAATTAAAACTTGATTAATAATAATAGAAACCATTAAGTTTACAAAGAGAGTTTATCATATTCAACTATTAAAAAATAAATTTATTATTTCCATTTTAATTTAATACATAGTAACAAAAACATGTAAAGGAATGTAATGCTGAATTAAATCATTTAAAATATAAAATAAAAACACGTAATTTATATCAGAAAAATAAATATGAAATGCAATTGCACAAGTCTTATGGTTCTTTTATTTTCTTTTCTTTATTGTATAATTTAAAAATAATATTTCATATTCTTGAGTAAATACTAATGATTTTATTATTTCACCAAAAAATTTGAAAAAGTTTAAATTTTTCCTTTTCATTTTTACTTTGAGCATCATAATTATTATAAAAACATTGTGACATTATAAATTGTTGAATAAAGTTTGGAGAAATATTCCCTTGTTCCCTTGTTTAATGTTTCTATTTTCCCATGTTCAGCAAATAAGAAGGCTTCTTTGCCTCTTTGTATTATATTCTGAAGCTCATATATATATAAAGAAAAAAAACACAGTATATATTTTTATACCATTATTGTAGACTTTATTCAAAATTTAGATTAAATTCAATGAATTATTTTTATTGCTGATTAAAAAATATCAGATTATGTTTTTTTAAAATATTTGGTTACTGAAAAAGTAGTCTAACAGTAGAAATAAAATACCAAAGAGTGATAATCCTCAAATTCATCAACTCATTGAATATTTTTCTTCACAACTGTAACTTATCCTATTCATTTGCACAAAGTAGCAGATAGCAACTAATGAAAACTTCCTTTCGCATGATAGCAATACAGCACCTTCGTTATTAAAAGTTCCCAAAAATTTGAACCATGGCTATTTTTCATTGTGCATGGACAATCCAAACATTATTATTTAATTTTGACAAACAAACAAATACCACTATATACACTGGAAAACAACTCCATATCTTTATGGATATTTTAAAGTTTAATCTGAACTTAATTTCATGAAAGCCAATATGTGTTCACTCAGTAAAAGTTTTCTAGAAAGTATTTCACTTTTCAGTAAACTTGACGTAATTTTAAAGAATTTATTTTCTTCAATAGATGTATAATTTTTACAATAGTATTGGATTCATGAGTTTATGAAGAACTCCTAAAGAATAAAATGGATAATTATGATACTGATTGCCAGTTTTTAAGTATAACGCAGTTTTAATGACGAAATTTATACAGTTGTTGAAGTTGCCCAAAAAGTATTTGATGAATAAAACGTATTTAATACTGTTGAATGAACAAAATTATATTTGGATTTTATCTTCATCTGTAAGTTTGTAAATTTTACATGTGACGTTTGTTAAATTTTAAAAAATATATTATTGCTGTTTTCCGTTATAATTATTTTATTATGATTTGCTAATACTTTGTATTCAACTAATCATGTTATGTCATGTAATACACTTTGTAGAATTTTCTTTGTTGCTCTTGCAGCATTTAATTTTTTCATAGCAATCAATGTGACTATTTTCAAAAGCTTCATGTTTTTACAATCAAAGAATTTGAGTTGTACATTAGTAAATTCCATATACATATACAAATTCCATATACATATATAATAAGGTGATTTTTTTAAAAAGCCGTTAAATATTCTAACATAATGTTAAGATGTAGTATTGTGATTTGAATTTACTTATTTATTTTACATTTTTAAGTTATAAGTTTTTTATTTTATTTTATTTTATTTTCATATCAAGTATTGAAAAAAGTCATTCTTTTTTGCTAAAGTATTAAATAAATTTTGAGTCTCAATAAAGTGTATTATGAAGTCAATTGGATGATTTTTCATATAAAAACTTTCCTTTTTGTATTTGATGTTTGAGTAAGAACATGTTTATTGTAACAAGACACATTGTTGATGTTAATGCAAACAATATGTAAATGAATAAATACATAGAGTGATGCTAATGCCACCACAGTTTATTCTTAAAATTAAAATTCATTCTTATATAATTTAAAAAACTTATTATAAACATGATTAGAATGTTTTTATTTAAAAAAAATAAAAAAGTTGAATGGGTTTCAGGAGCAAAAACTGTGGTGGCATTGGCAATACCCTTTAAACATACATACTCATATAAAATAAAACAATAACAGCACAAATTATATACTTGTTTTGTGAGTATAACTTTTGTGTGTAAAGTTGAAGTTCTCAATCAACAATTTATTTGTTTAGTGAACAAATTACTGGTAATCTTTGACATGTATCATTTGTTCTTCTTAATTATCTTTAATCTTTCTATATTATTGAATTTTCCGTAGTATTTCCCATTCCAATGGTAAGCTATAGTTATGAACTGCTCAGCAACCACAAAAACCCACAAAAACATGGATTCGGCACCAAGCTTTTTTTTTTTTTTTTTTTTACTTTTCATGAAATCTTCATTTTGTATCCTCCATGACGAATCTACCAATACTAAGAAATGGATGAAAAAACGATGAATGTCGCGCTCATCCTTTGCATCCACAATTCGAATGTCCCGCCCAAAGGCTTGGCGGGATTTTCAAAGTTTTGGCGCGAGGGCTAGGGTTTGAATGCGTCGCAGCTGCTTCTTATATATATCGTGTCTACATCTCTGCTTCTTTCATTCGAGTTAACGTTCGTGTTGTGGTAGTTCCACTTTTGACATCTCAGATTTTTGCTCATTGCATTTGCTGTTTCCATAGTAGTGTTTCTGTCGTGAGCCATGTCGGGACGCGGCAAAGGAGGAAAGGGGTTGGGCAAAGGTGGCGCTAAGCGTCACAGGAAGGTTTTGCGTGACAACATCCAGGGTATCACGAAGCCGGCGATCAGGCGATTGGCCCGAAGGGGCGGTGTCAAGCGTATCAGTGGTCTGATATACGAGGAAACCCGTGGCGTGCTCAAGATCTTTTTGGAGAATGTCATTAGGGATGCTGTTACTTACACTGAGCACGCGAGGCGCAAGACTGTTACTGCTATGGACGTAGTGTACGCCCTGAAGAGGCAGGGAAGGACCTTGTACGGTTTCGGAGGCTAGGCTGTGTTCTTCCTGTTGTCTCCACTTCAACTACTGGTGTTACTTAACACCACAATTTTTTTGAATTGTTATCAAATCTGCTACTGTGTGGTCCGTCAGTGATCTGGCTTTTGATCCTTTTGTTTGTATTTTGTGCTGCCGTTTCGTCCTTGTTGCTCATTCCGTATGTTCGACGGTTGTGTACGTGTTCTCTTTTGATATTTCCACGCGCCGTCCTTTTTCTAGATCTCGATGCACTTGGGGATGCTGGGTATCGGTAGCACCGTCAACGTCAGATCCGGTAGCAAGTAGGTGAATGTCATTAGAGTATGCAATTTGCACATTGTAGCCGTTCCACATGTCGGCTTTGTGTGCTTTAAGTTCCTTTCAACGTTCAATTTGGTAGACGTTACCGTGAGACTATTCTAAATGGATGACACATGATTTCCTGTAACCGTACAGTAGTAACGGATTGTGATGCGTGTGTCCCTGAAACGTAATTGTCAACGTGCTCCAGATACTGGTTGTGTGGTCTGCAACGGTTACAAGTGACATAGGATGCGAGGACCGGCGGTTAATGAAGGCAAGATCGTAGCACCACTCTCCGGCTACAGTCGGCCCCCATACGTTAGTCGATTGTTTGCGCGTTGGATCGTGTTGACCCTTAAGCATGAGTAGAGGTACAGGAGCTGGATATGACCGTCATATTACCATATTTTCTCCAGAAGGGCGTCTTTACCAAGTTGGTACGTTGTTTGATCTATTCACCCTGTGACCTTAGTGTAGAACTTCAGCATGACTGGAGTTAATGAAACTCCCCTGAAAAAAAAAATTAACATCGCTGGTCTTCTAAACGATCTCCACGCATTTCCTGCCCCTCTGCATTTCGAGTTTGTCAATTTTTAATGTGCTGTACGGGTGCATTTTTGCAAAGTCCGTTTCAGGGCACACTCATTACTCGGGTGATTGACTACGCGTTAATGTGTAAGTTGTGGACATACACAGTAAGAAATGTGTAAGAACATTCCTAAGATCATGTATCTCGTCTTCATCAAGCAGAATATGCCTTTAAGGCAGTCAAATCGTCAGGCATCACTTCAATCGGGGTGCGAGGCAGAGATTCGGTATGCGTTGTCACGCAAAAGAAAGTCCCGGTAATCTATACTTTATCACCCTCAGATATGTCAATTTATCAAACGGCAAGTTATCTTTCACCTGCTGAAGATTTAAATTCGTAACTCTCTTCGTCGTAGTTGTCAATGATAAACGATTGGCCCTAATAAGAGTTGTTCGCTTTTGTAAAACTGGCTTCTGAAAGTGTGTTTTTGAATAAATGGAAGGAAAGTCAAACTCATAACTAAAAGATTAAGGTTTGACTATATGGGTAATGTGGAGGTGAATTTGGACACATAAATTTGTATGAAGTCGATAATCATCTCATACCAATACTCGTTATACTTGTGAAGTCTTGTGTGCGTATGATCAAATAAAATCAATCATATATCCTTGAATTTTTATTTATACATGATCAAGCAACGGTATTCATTTTGTGAGGAAAATCTAAGTTTTAATTCTTTTAAGCAACCATGTAAAATAAAGAACCTTTTCCACCTCACTGTTCTTAAAGCTAATGATCTATTATGTGTCTTGAAACATTTGTCATCTTTTTTGTTACGATGAGTTATCAACTAAGATAGTGCGCACAATGACGTAATGAACTAAACCTTGTCACCCAATGTCTCCATCTTGAAGGACAAGCTTCTCGATCGATCGAGCGTCACGCATCTCTTTGTTGTCACCAAGCGCATAGGACTTCTAGCAACTGGGATGACAGGTATGCTGCACAAATCCTGTTGCTATGTAACATAAACGATAATGTGTAGTAAGTCTGTTCATGTGTTGACCTAACCTGTATGTTGTTGAGGCCTTGGCTATCAGTGAAGCCAAGACCTAGCAAGTATATTGAATCCGTTTTTCCAATTCGTAAATGTGCAGGCGATGCCAAGTCGCTGGTAGCCGGCGCTCGAGCAGAAGCAGCAGAGTTTCGCTTCAAAATGGGTTACGAGATACCCGTTGATTACCTCGCGAAGAGGTGAGCTTTTGTTGGTTGACTTACGCTGCTCTTGACAAATGCTCTGTGCCTTTGTTTCAAATGAACATCTCTTCGATGTACTACTTGAAATTACAAATAGAGTCAAACTTTGGTATGTTTTATGACAGGCTTGCTGATAAGTCGCAAGTGTACACTCAACATGCGTATATGCGGCCTCTTGGAGTTTGTAAGTATTGTTATGTTTTCTTTCTGAGATACCAAAACTCGTGTTCTGTAAACAGTTATGCTATTTTTTGGAAGGAAAAGTATTGCACTTTATTCCTAAAGGTGTTCGTTATACAGCTGCTATGTTCATTGGCATGGATGATGAGCATGGACCTCGACTGTACAAGTGCGATCCCGCCGGCCATTTTGTGGGGTACAAGGCAACCAGCTCCGGAGCAAAAGAACAAGAAGCCGTTAATATCTTAGATAAAAAGTTGAAACACAACCCCCAGCTTTCATACGATGAAACTGTGCAAGTGAGCGGCATCGGTCCCTTGTTTATTACACCCTCTCAATAATGTGCAAAGTTAAATTGTAATTAGGACGTTTTAGATGTTCTGTAATCAACCACACCGTTCGTGGATCCTGCTCTCAAAGACAGAGAAACTCGCAGATCTCACAATTATCAAAACATTTCTTGGAACGTGGCAGACAGCTATATGCGCATTGCAGAGTATCTTGCTAGAAGACTTCAAACCTACAGAAATTGAGGTGGGTGCTTCAGAATGTTTTTGGTCGACCAAGGATTGCTGTTGTTTGATCGCAGACTAGTGGATACTTGATAAACAAATATCCTCGGTAGAGTTCTGTAAAACTTACGGGATTTTTTAAAATATCTGAGCACACGATTACGCTGAATGTGTGCAACTCACTCATCTTCACTGACATTTGCAGGTTGGTGTGGTCAGCCAGGCCGATCCAAATTTTCGACTGTTGACTACAGAAGATATAGATGACCACTTGACTTCCATAAGCGAGCGTGACTGATAGTATCTTCCCGTCAAACTTTCCGTGTGCTTATCATTGTTTCAAAACTTCAGACCTTTACAAAATCTTAAGGCAAACGTTACTTGAAGTTTCTCTTTAGCAAACTTGTCTCACTCTTAATTATTACTTCTCTTTCTTTGACGGATAGAAGTGCAGATTTAGAAGCCGGAGAAAAAACATGGATGTGTATATGCGTCAAAGTGGCACACAAACGAAGGGGTCACTCCACCGCCATGCACTCACGATAACAAGGGTACACATGAGATTGAAGTTCCTTGGGTGGGAATTTTGCACATTTTTCTCACTAGCAAATGCTGACTCCTTCACGACAGATTGGCAATAAGACCACAAACTGACAGAGGGGATGACGTTTAGGAATTTGAGGCTATTTTTCTAATTGATTTCGGAGGTTTGAGAATCTCATTTATTTATTCGTGCACTTGATTTCCTTTGAACTGAACGTGTTGAGAATGTGATGGGGTTGTGTTGTTCTTCCCAAAGCTGAGTTTACAAAAAGCATTACCCTCTCTGATCCTCAGAGCACGGTCTGAATCTGGGTCATGGGGGGAGTGGATCTGATCAATAGAAGAGTTCCCGAGGCTGCAGATGTAACCATAATGGCTGTCCAAAAGATGTCATTCACCACATCGATTCGCCGCATAGTGCAACAATTTGAGGCGTCTTTTTCAGCGTTGGAGTGTCTAAGCCAAGTTGTTAATAAATGTATGCATAGTATGTTTAAGATGCAGTAATAAATTAAGTGAAAACGAGTTGTGTGTGCGAGATTGTTTTAAAGATTTGAATCAATTTATATTGTGCTTTTTGTTGCACATTTGTGGCAATATATCATAACCATGACATTGCTGGGTATAGAAGTGATCTTATGCAAACACTTGGTATGTTGAAATCCAATTTAAAAAACATATCCACCAACTTCAATTTATCATTAAATTTTAATCTAAAAAACTTCAATTTAAAATGTCTTAAGTTGTTTTTATCTCTTAAGTTATTAAAATGATTTAAATTTCAAACACTATAGTTGCAAGACAAAAGATTTTTGGGAGTAATAATTGCCATGAATATATATTTATGTATATAAAAATATAATTATGTAATTGTGTTTGTAATTTTAAAATATTAAAAAAAAATCTAATTTAGAAATATGATAAATTATTTAATATCCATATGGTTTATTTCTTTAGATACATAAAATGATCAAAATTATAAATATAAAAAATAAGAAATGGAAGAAGTGTGAAATAAAGTTTTATCATTTTTCTATTTAATGTTAAAAGAACAATCCTATTTTCTTGCATGGTAAAAAAATTATATGGATAAAAAATTGACTAATTCTTATTTGAATATAATTGCATTCTATTAAACACTATCATGTTTGTCACCTAATAGTTATTGCATAATAATCTATTTTACCAACATCATAATTATAAAATTGCATATTTCTTAATTTTTATTGATTACAGCATAATATAATTTATGAATTAAAGCAATTGGTGGACTATGCTAACCTTAGAAATATAATTATTATTTAATTAATAAAATAAAGATTTTACATTCTTTAAGAGGTATATTTTAGAAGAACTTTGGACATAAATTATTATAAAAAAAGATAAGAAAAACTTTTATAATAAAAGAAGGCAAGAAGAGAAGATTTGGTGTAGAAACAATTTAGAAGAAAAGCGAGTATAAATGGATTAAAAAAAGAAAAGTTTGTGTGAAAAGACAAAGTGGTTAGCTGCCCATGTGTTAAAAAGACAAGGTGGTTAAAACCATCTTTGGTAGTTAAGGTAGTAAGAAATAAAGTAATTTTAGAAATTTACTATAGAGCAGCTATAAATAACTTCTAAGTTATGTTGTAAATATCATTTAAAAATCATAATAAAAAAATTACAATCGATATTCTATTATATTATTTTATTATAAACTTTTGATCTATTAAACAAATTATAAGTGTTATAGGGAAGATTCATAAAGTTCTTCGAGATTCTCAATACAAGGAAGAAAAAAGCTTAAAAGACAAGACTAATAATGACTTTGAAAGACAAAGAATGATCTTTATCAAGGATTGATGTGAATACAAGGATAGCTCCTATATAGAATCATAGAAGGAATATTCTACAATTCTCAAGATGTGAGAATTTAGATGTTTATATTTTTTTTAAACATATGCATGAATTAATCTCTATTTTACAAATAATTTTTTAAAGCAATTATACTTGTATTATTGATGATATTTTTGTTATAAATATTTGTAAATTATTCCCAGTACTTAGTTTCTTTTTCGACATTACATCTTTGTAATAAAACAAATAGATTTTTATCTTCCTTTTAAATATTAATTTGATAGTAAAAAAAATATAATTTTTATACATAAAATAATAAAAATTTAAAAGTCTTAATTCATAACATAATTTTTTTTTAATAATTTGATATTTTTATATCTTTAAATAAAATTAAAAAAATGTTTTATTAAATTATAATAGTATATATATTTTAATTTTAACTATGAAAATATGATCTAATTTCTTGAAAATACTTTTAAATCTTCATTATTCCACTAAAATTATAGAAATATTAGATAAAACTCATTTTAGAATTATTTAAAAAAATCTTTATATATATATATATATATATATACATATTTTTATATTAAGAAAAATATATTATAATTTTATGTAATATATTATATTAATTAAGGAATTTAATTCTTTTGATTAAAATTAATTTTCTTTACAATACAATTTTTAATTTTTTTTATATTTATGTATACATTTATTAATTTCATATTTTTTTTATATTTTTGGATATTTTTTATATTAGAAATAAGAAAGTTAGAAGAAGAAATAGAGCATAGCAAGAAAAAAGAGAAAAAGAAGAGAAGATAAAAAAATAATAGAGGAATAAGAAAAAAAATACTTTTTAAGAATAAAATTTTAGAATAAATGATCTTTTGAGTAATATACTCTACGTATTGTCAAAAATATTATTTTTAAATTTGAATTAAAATAAAGTAATCAATACTTTAAATTAGATTTGAAGAAAAATAAATTAATAAAAAAATTCATTTCTATATTCAAATAAAATATCAAATTATATAAAATATTAGTAATAAATCATACATGATTTTTTTTTTAAATTACTGTTTTACAAAAGGTAGAAATTATATCATTTATTTATCATTTTTATTGATATATAGTCGAATTTTATTATTAAAGGCTATTTTAAATGAAATATAATATTTTCATAGTTGGTACTCTATATGGTATTTAATAGATTGTATAAAAGTAATAGTTATTGGTATGGAAGTTTTTAAAATTATTATTATTATTATTATTATTATTAATACTATTATGTTTAAATTCTTAAGAATTATAAATTTTAAAGTTTAATATTAAGAATTTCAGTATTTAAAATTTGATAGAAATCACCTTATGCTATATTTATTGTCTTGTATTTTTTTTAATTTTTAATTTTTTTCATTAACATATTTACTTTTTTTCTTAATTTTGTGATCAAGATAATATTTTGTAAGTTTTTAGGTAATTGCTTATTAATTTGGATATAAAAGTTAAGACAATTTTGAGTTTATTTTTATTAATGCATGTGATATTTGAATTATAATTCTCAAGCACATCTAAAAAAGTAATATTGTTGTAGATTTATTTTATTATATTTGATATATTTTCTATTATTCACAATATTATTGTTATTTTTTTAACATCGTATCTTTTATCAACTTTTAAATATGGTTCTTTTATAAGTAAAGATAAAATTAGTAACTTATTAAAGCCACACTCCAACTTCGTTAAAGCTACACCCCCCTTTCTACCTCATGATTTATTTTTATATAAGTCCCATGTTCCCCGCTCCATTCCCATCCCATATGCCCCATTCCCATACTCCAACCATAGCAACTTTGATTTTATTCTCTTTTTTTTACATCTAAACTACAACATATTTTATTTTTTATCTTAACAATCACAAATTTTCTTTGTAAGCATAAAAATTTATACAATGTAACATCAAATTAAGAATGAGTTGATAGATCCTAGATAATGTATATATCTTGAAAAATTTAAAAAAGAAATATAAAATATGTATTTTTTTTATAGAATTCAATAAGTTTTATCAATCTAAAAAAAAATTACAATATGAAATTTTGAAACCAAATTATTCATATCATGCTATTAAAGTTGGTTTATAGATGTAAACATTAAATGCATCAGATTCAATTTAGTAATAGGAAGATTGTATATGTACATAACACAAAAATTACTTTTATATAAATCATAAATTCTAAAAAATATTTTTAAATTTATTTTTATTTTTGAAATAAATATTAATAAGACCATAAAAATTTTAAATTAAAACTATTAAAAGAATTTTCTAAAATGTATTTTTTGAATTTTTAAAAATAATTTTATGAGATTTTTATAAATTTTGTAACAGTGCCAAGTATTTAAAAGTTACTGTGCTATAGGAACCACTATGTTTAATTAAGCACATGCATTCATATATTAAAAAAATATAATTAATTAATACTTAATTCTCATTATAAAATCCTTTATCAAGTAATTATTAAAAAACTAGCTATTACTATTAAAATTTTGAACAATAATGTTTAATTTCTATGATATTTTCTTTGCAAATTATTCTTAAATTTACTTGATTATGCAGTATGTTACAAGAGAATAATAGATAAGAAAATTTAGCCATTTCATTGAAGTATATAAGGTAATAAATAAGAATAAATCTATGAAGTTCATATATTTAAGTGCTTTAGAGCAAGTACCATATTATATTGAAAAACTCAAGGTTTAAAATGCATGCTTATTATGAATAGTAACATGTATAATATTTGAATGAGAATGCACATTAAATCTGAAGGACTTCAATAAAATATGAAAGTAATATAAAAATTTTATTTATTTTATAGAATATTATGTTTAGATAATTGAAAAATAAAAAAACTAAAAAACTAAAAGTTGTGTGCTATTTAAATAGACTATATAGATTATTATGTGTATTTAATATCATTCAAAAATATTAGCAGGAGCTTTTTATTTTCTATATATGGATTTAATGTGACATGCTATGGATGGTGGCATGGTTGGAATAGTAGGAAGGAGGGGGAAGGGGACATGGGACTTATACAAAAATGAATCATGAGTTGAAAAGAGGGATATGGCTTTAAGAAAGTTGGGGTGTGGTTTTAAAAAATCCCTAAAATTAAAGTATAAAACATTCTTACCTCCAATTATTATCAAAGAAGCTTAATTTATATTGTGTCATTTCAAAAAAAATCTCTAAGAAGTTAAGAGGTTTTATTCAAGTTATATAAATCTATAACACCACTTGTAAAGTTTTTTTAGAATTGGTCATATCATTTTAGTATTGTAAACTAAAAAATTGATTCAAAATATTCAAAAGGCATAGAAGGCAACAGTTTTCATTTGAATCTAAATTCAATTTTTTAATGAACGTCTAATAAGAATCTACTAAATAAAGAACGTGCAAAAATGTTGATTATAATTTTTTTGTTTGTAGAGGAATAGTTTTAAAATATGGTAATTAGGATGTTATTTTTAGATTGAATATAATAATAATTTAGATGTAATAGGATATGAATGTATTATAGACCAATAAGAAATAAATTGCTATAGTAATTGCTAAGTAACACATCAATAAAATGAGTAATTTGACCATTTACATATTGGAATAAACATTTAGCCTCATCAAATTATTCTTCCAGAAGAAATTGACAGTTTAATGGACTAAGTTTCTATGTTTTGCCTTGACCTCCATTTATTTCATCATACAATTAATAGATAATATAAAAAAAAATATACATATCACCAATTTCTAAGTTGTATTTGCTTAAATGAATCCATGAAGTCCAATCCTCATTTCATGAAGTGTTATACCAATAAGCCATGGGACAATACCAACTAAGTGGTGTAAAAGCCACATACAAATTGGAATGTGGATACATGGCACCACAACGCCCAAAGGTGATAGAGTGCCACCAATGAGGGGGAGGCAATGGAAACATGGAGGCAAAATGCAAACATTGCAACCACACCAGGGGCAGGTACCAAGCTAAAGAAGTGGATGAGATTTATGTAGAAGATTTGTGCGAGAATCGATTCCAAAGTTCCTCAGACCTCAAAGGGAATGTACAGGGTACATACTGCTAAGTGACATCAAGTCCAGTGCCAACTCTAGGTGCTTAGCATCACGGCTTGCAATTAAAAACTTAGTTCTGGTAACTGTTTTCAACTCCATCCACCCGTCGTTGAGATACAAATCTTTTAAAAATGTGTGGCCAGTCTTGTTCCTTGTCATTCCTTCGTTGTAAGTAGTACATTATTTTCAAGTATCAGTGACAAGCGCTGCTTCAGTAATGGTCTTACTAGTCCTAGGATTCTGCTAGGATGCAGAAAGTTTGACAGCATATCTTTGTAAAGGTTGGAGCAGAAAGTGCTGATTTAGCAATACGAACCCCAAGCAGGAACGCCCAGCACTTGAATTCACACTTTGTTCAAGGACTGTTATTAAAGTGCAAAATCAATTTAAGAACTATGGCAACTTACACAGATACCAACCTTCCATCCAAAATCACGATTTCTGATCCAAACACCTCCGTACATCGTGAACTGGTGTTATGCAACTTCTCACCCTCATTTCTCAACAAAGAGTGCCAAGAAATTGGCCCTTCTTCCATCCGTGAGCCTAACATCAAACCTTTAGTTTTTCAACTACCTTAAATATCTAGAAGTAGACGTCTCGGATCTTCCACATTATCTTTCACCGCACGGAGAAATAAGACAGCTTCTCGCCCATCTATAAGCCTGTGATCATACGTGAGTGCCACATACATCATAGGTCTAGCAATAATGTCCTTTCCAACAACCATTGGGCGCTTCACAATAGAGTGCATTCCCAGAATTGCGGACTGCATCACAACATAAAACCCGTCATTATTTGGAAGGCCTAAATTCTGAACACTAAAGTTCGAAACACACAAATAAACGGTTCAATCCACTCAGACCCAGTCCGACAAAATTTGTAGAACTTAAACGATTAATTAAAACTAGTGGTCTTAACAATTTTCGATTAGTATCGATTCTAGGAACAACCTGGAATTTCGGAAATAAACATTTGCATTTCGGTTTCGCTGCCAGTTAATTATAACAAGAGGATATTCAAAAGAGTTGTCGAGAAAGAAATTGACCAACTTGAGGAGGGTTGATAATAGGAGTGCTTATGAGACTCCCATAAACACCACCATTAGAGATAGTAAAAGTTCCTCCCGCCATATCATCAATGGTTATGCTCCCATCATTAGCCTTCTTCCCTAACATGTTTATCATTTTCTCTATCTGTGCAAAGTTCATGCCATCGACCCCTCGAAGAACAGGCACCACAAGTCCCTGAACGAAGAAGATGCACGCATCATTAAATATCCTAGTTCAGTCCATCACGTGCTGTAATAAGGAAAGTTATGAACGGTCTGAGAACAAAACCAAAATTCCCACAGGTGCTCATAAGCATAAGTGCTGGTGTTTTAAAAATATGTATAAACTATTGTTTATGAAGTTCTGAAACCTTTTTAGTTCCAACAGCAATGCTGATGTCAATGTAGTCTCTGTATATGATATCATCTCCATCGATTACCGCATTTACTGCAGGAAATTGCTTAAGTGCACTCACAGCTGCCTAGATTCCACAATAAAGCGCATGCGAGCCAGTCAATAGACTCCCAGTATTCACACCGAAAGTGGAAAAACACCAGCGGAGGAATGTCGAGCGGGAAAACTAGCTTCCAGTTATAAATGTGCCATTTGTATGCGCAGCATAATTAAACTACACATTTCTGTAGATTCTGAACTGCATTTTACGCATTGTCTAGTCATTGGCTATGATAACAGCGAAGAAAATGATCAGATCTAGGACAGTCCATAAAACATAAAGAAAGGTGTCATCACCTTCACAAACCCAGACATAAATCCTAGTTTCACACCATGCTTTTCCAGAAACGTGTCCTTATGTTGAGAACGCAACTCCATCAGGTTACCCCTGCAAACACAGAAACATCTGAGCCTCAAAATATGTAAAACATTAGAAAAAGATAATACTGTAACAGGAAGAACAAATCAAGGGCTCGGATCTAAGCTTCATCTGAACAACTACTTAGCAAGAATTTTCAAGAAAGAAACTTACATATCAAGCTCGTTGAAAGTTGTGAGGAGCGCAAAAGTGTTTTGAGAATCCTTCAATCGAGTAGCCACTCGTTTTCGTAACCTAGTCATTGGAACCTGTCAAAATGGAACATGGATGTCAACTGATACCATATCTCTGTCCCTAAGTACAATCTGCGAGATTCATTTACTTGAAGAACAGAATGCAGAAACACTAGTACCCTTCGCTCTCCGCCCTGAAGCTGAGGTATTGCTGCACGTTTAGGTGATGAAAGGTCATCAGCTTTGGGCGAAGCAGCAGCAGCAGCATCAACCTTTACTGGTCCTGGTTTTGGTGGCGGAGGAGCTACTGTTACTGCAGGAGATGCTGCTGCTGGTGCTCTCGGAGATGGAGTGGTAAATGCTGTAGGACCAGGAGGAGACGCAGCCCTAGGTTCTCCTATGGCCACAATTGCAACTTTCGTTCCAGGAGTAACTGTGTCTCCTTGTCTGGCTAAAATCTGTGATACCACTGCAGCTTTGAATTAGTGCCTTAGCGTACTTGCAGATAATTACGCATGCAAGAGCAACACACCTCCAAATATGCTAAGTATACGACCGTAGTACTACAGATATCATAGGACAGATCTATGTGCATCCATAGAAAAAACCCATACCAACCCTGTTAATAAATTATCAACAGTGCTGGGAGAACGACAGAAATCTGCACATTGTTCAGTCATTCATCCAGTAATCTGGACAAAATGTGAACCGAACTAGGCCACAATCTTCGATTGTAACAATCAACCTGTCTGATACCACAATATTATGAAGACATTGGACTATTGCTGAAGAAGCAGGACTACTATGTTCAATAGACATTGGAAGATGAATTGAGCCTATAGTTGATGCTTTTTCTACTCCTGAAAAAACATAACCAACAATTATAATTGAACTACAACTAGAATCTAATATAACTGCTATCTGGTTTACTTTAACCTCCTGCCGGATAAAACCATGTCAGAAGCGAATGAAAGTTGGATGCACCTGTCGAACTTAACACTCCACACAGGCAAATAAATAGTACCTGTTCGATTCTTCCAGCGACTGAGCTTCGCACATCGATTGTAACCTGGTAAGAAGACGGAAAATGAATGTTTTGGTCAAAAGAATTGTCATCAGTTAGAGGGCATCAGTTGAACTGACTGTTTTCGTAGTCTTCGAGGGCCGCTTGGATATGATTCAACAAATTGACATTTCTCTTGAAGAACGTCAAGAATAGACATGAACAGACCTTATCGGTCTCAATCTGGGCAACAATCTCATCAACCACCACGGAATCCCCGACATCTGGAATCCCACAATCAGCAACACACTAGGTGAAACATAAAGTCAATTCCAAAATCAGAAGGAATGTGTCTACACAAAACATATGAATAGAGCACATATGTGCTCTTTGCCATGGGGACCACCACGACATGACACTGGTTCAGTTATCATGGAACGTACCAAAAAACTTTTACCTCAGTGTTTTTAGAAGCGCGCAACCACTACTAGGTATTTCTAAATAATGCAGAGATTAGCCATTTCTGAGAAATCTCATATTTGACCAATAAAAGACAAATTAAATGTCTGGATACGCCAAAATCATCAATAGCTTTTCCAACCATCAAACCCAAACTGTTACAACGATTCATGCATGATGTTCTGGCGTGGGGCAGTCTAAACACACGAAAACAATCTCGCGCAGATTGCAGCTGCTTACTCTTCAATACTGAAGCAAGGTTGCCATCTGGCACTGAATCTCCCATGAACGGAACAACGATTTCGTTGGGGGCACCTGAAAGTAACAAATTCGAGGACATTGCAACGACTTTTTAGTCTTCGCATACAATCAATTGCAAGAGTAAGTGACCCGAGGAGTACCAGAATACATCTCAAACCTTAATGTTAAATTTTTGTTCATTACAACATCCGTGTACAGTTCCAATAGATGTTTGCCATGGATTATTAACACACACTTGCAGAAACGTGAAAACAATATTTCGATAGCGCTCTCCAAGCATATTATTTTTAATCAAGCACCGCTTTGGACAATCTTAAGTTTGCTCAGTTTTGACATTCCAGAATCATCAGAATGGCTGGACATACAAGAGAAGGATTGCTTCCGGAACAATAATGGTTGGGCATGACACAGGTAATTAATGTGGTGCTATATAGATATGAAATTCATTATCACCCTTTACATCTGCATAGCCTCTGTTCCACCCCAGCCAAGCTGGCCTTGTCTTAGCAGCAAACAGAACCCTACATATTATGTGGTGATAAAGCGGTCAGTTAAATTCACCAAAAGCCTTGCCGCGACCTTGTAATTAACATCCTGCATTGTGTAAATGTATCTGTCTCACTGAACTAGATGAGTATACACAGGCATGCCTTATTGCAAGAAACATATAGCCCACGATGATCATGTAAGTCCTTCAGCACCTATACTTCTCGTTGCTAGCTAATTTCAGAAACTAGTGCAAACAATAAGATCAATTACAAGTGCCTCACAGACAACTCATAGACCTCATCAAATACAAAAACTTACACCAAATGTTCAAAACTGAAGGTAAAACTGAGGGCTTGGAATTTACGGATGGATAATAGGGACACTAGTTTTCAGTGACTCAACAAGAACACTACCATGGACTGACGCAGACACTCATGGTATATGAACACCTGGCTAAAGATGATCTCTTGCCCAAATTCCACGGTTATACGATACGTGTACCACTTCGAATTTGCCAAAAGTTTAACAACAATTGATGTTATCGAATAAATGACCACGATATAAGCTAAACGAGCCGCACTTATCATGCAACAAGATAAACTAAATTCAGACCATCATATCTAAATACATGAAAGGGCAATTCCCTGCTACTTAGCTAAAACTAAACGAGATAACGGAGTCCAACATAACCTCAGCTGAAACAAATCAACAACAAAGAGAACAGGATTCCATCGGATTATACCTCAAACCATTTCGCGGGAAGATATCTGCCAACAATTACGACATAAACAGAGTTGTGAGAAGCAATCCATAAGCCCATAGAAATCGAATGAGCTCAATGCATTCAATCCACACAATGATTTACTGTACACTAAAATCACAGCAAAACTTAATTTCATCAAATTACAATTCACTGCCAGCAAAAACGACATCGAAACCTAAACCGTATCCGCACGGCGAGGTGTATTACCAATCTACAACCTGAGAAGAACAAAGTAACCACCTGAAGAAAAAGCAGCAACACAATGCCGTAATTGTGGTAACGTTCTCGAAGATCCCCTCTGCAATCACGATTACAAATGCACGCACATCAAAAACTTCTCTCTCGTTACCTCTCCTTCACGATTACATCTCCAAGGGCAAAACGCAAACTAACAATGCAGAGCCATACACAACCAAACCATCACAAACTTCAATCAATAAGAAAACAGACGAGACAATTCCTCGTGTTCCTCGCTTCCAACCCGCACCTGACGAAGCGCGATCCGGGACCCGCGGATGGCGTGGGTCCGCAGCAACAAGCGCGCAAGAGCTCGCTCCATGAGCTCGACCCAATGCAAACCTTCCGCCGCAAACCGGCCACAACTTCTTCTGCTTCCTCCCCTCGCCCTGCGAAACTCGTCGACGTCGGCTCTAAACTTGAAAATATGCAAAACACCGTGCGGTGATGGATCTGTCACCTTGGGAGTCTCCAGCTGCGTTGCTACGATCGGTGAGGCTGCATGGAAGGTGGACGAGATTAGGGCTTGTGGCAATGGCTGATTAGGCACATTTGTCTTCCTACATTGGGCGCTGTTTGGTTTGGTTTAGTCAATCCTAAGATTCAATCTATACCTAATCAAAAATTGGAATAGCCTAATCGAATTTATTTCAAATAATGGAGTTCCAATTTAAACTCAATCAAATCAAACCCTCCAAATTGGATTCTTATACTATACAAATTAAACTCTTCAAATTGGATTCTCTTACTATACAATCATTTATGGTAATTTTGGTTCCAATCCATATAATGATTCACATCAATGTTTGGCAATTGCATTTATTTCCTAATTTAGTAATAATTGATATTTTTTGTCAATTACTAGTATGTTGATATTATCTTGTACAATCTAATTGTTGAGTTAATTAGGTTGTATTCTTTCAATCTCCATACAATAAGTTGCTTCTACATTGATTGGAATTTGAATTTTAAACTATTCAAAAAACTTTAATTAAGAGTAATAGCAATTTTTTTGCTTGGAACATTGGTGTGTTATAGTTGGTGTGACCTTAGAATGTGTGTTCTTTATTACTATTAGTTATCTTCAATAGAAATGACATTATATGAATGCCAATATAATCTAACACAATTTGAAATAATAGTAGATAAAGTCTTTTAGCAATTGATCTCTTTAGCAATAATATTTGCTTTTTCTATTAATTAAGTTTTATTTTTTATTTTTTATGTTGGCATTAATACATATCTTTATTTTATTAATAATGGTTTTTGACATAACTTCTTAAGTGAGTATGATGTAAGAGCAACTAGAGCTTAAACTTCATTCTTATAAGAAGTTCAATAATGTATTCATTAAAAATATTGAATTTGGAATTGTTTCTATGAACTTACAATTCTTCAATCGTAAAACATTTAGATGCTTCAACTTTTCTAAAGCTTCTTTATTGAAAATTTTATAACATAAACTGCCCACAATGTCATTACACATAGTTTTTGACAAATCTATATATAACAAAATTGATTTTAATTTACATGATTTCTTTAATAATATAATTAATATTTATTATACAACTATAATATTATTCAATATATTCTCTTCAATTTTGTAGTTCAAAAGTCTTAATGAAAAATAATTCATATATCCAATATTACTTTGCATAATATTCTCTTTCTTATTATAAGATAAATCTTTCAACTATCATACAATGAAATACAATCAAATTAAGTATTTCAACTTATTAATTTTTTAAAAAAAATCTCATATCATTATAAATTTAATATCAATATAAGATATCTTACAATTATTTGTATACTATCATATCACCTTAAAAATTAATGATACAATATCATACCTACAAATATTACATATAAAATATTTGTCATCATTCTTGGTTGTATGCATCTTTTTTACACGTGTCAAGTTAAGTACCTTTGTTGTGAATTTGTTAATTTGTACCATGCTCATTTTTCATGTACTTGTGCCTTTATATGTTTTTCTTATTTCAACAATCATTCAATTTATATCTCATAAATGTACTTGCATTCTCATAATTCCAACTTCATCAATTTTCACCAATGAATGACTAATCAATGTGTCTAATGTATCTTCCATATCTTCCTTTAAACCCAATCTCTCATTGTTTGTCTATATTTGCAATGCTCTTTCTTTTGACATCCCATGTGAATACACATCATTAGTAAAAAAAATAACAAATAATAAAAAATATGTATTTTTTTTCAACTTTTAATTGGTCAAAGCTTACTCTCAATATTGTCCAAATCTTATGGTTACTATTTTCTTCATCTTCATCCATGTTTCTTGCTCTTTTTAACCTTTGCAAAGCTTACATCCAATATCTTATTCTCTTTTGTCCTGTCAAAAATGTTGCCATAACTTTTAAGCTCAATGATAATCCATTAAAAGTTTTTACAATTTTTTTACCTACATCATGAAATTCTATAGGCAATTCAACTTCTTTTCCATGAAAATGAATAATAAATAATTCTAAACTTGCATCATTATTATTATTATATGTATACTTTGAGGTATACATATATAAATATTTTATTATTATTATTATTATTATATGTATAGTTTGTCATTGTTATCTAATCCATTCTATCCATGCAAATACAACATATTGCCTTTATATCTTATTTGGATAGCTCTAATAACTTATGTGTGTATTCATGTCTACATAATAGTTGATCTTCTTGGAAATATACTTGCACAAACAACCACAATTGTTATACCAAAACATAGACATTGCACATGTATCAAGGATAAGAACTTGATAAAGACAAATAAAGAAGTGAGACTTTTCTCAAAGAAAGATGACAAAATAGAAATAACTCAATATGTATATTAAGAAAGAAAGTAGAATGGCTATTGCCAAAAGACAAGAAAACTAGAGACCCTTGAAACTAGACTAGAAGCAAGAAAGGAATTGACAAGACTGAAGTGGTTTTCACTCTTGTCGCTATACATATTAATTAATTAGGGACTTTGTGGCGATGTTCTATAAGACCTCTAATATATGTTGACTTTATAGGATACATGCCTTGACTTACAAGGCAAGTTTTTCTACATGTGGGCTACATAGTTAGCTTGGTCTTCAAGCTAACAACATGTGTGGAAAATGGCCAACTGTTAGGGACATAGTCCTTAGAACCTTCTAGAGATAAGTTTCTAGAACCTTCTAGAAGCAAGTCTCTAGAACCTTCTAAAAGCAAGTCTCTAGAACCTTCTAGAAGCAAGTCTCTAGAACCTTCTAGAAGCTTCTCAGTTAGTAGAAGTTACTTGAGAAGTTTCCTAAATAGGAGTATATATTAGAATCGAGGCTGAAGAGTTCTTCAGTCTCGATAATACATCTCTTGGAGTTCTAGCTCATCTCTCTAATGTTCTTGTATTCATCTGATTAATCTAGTTCTTGCCAAATCTTCTTGAACTTCTTGTTAGATCTCGAGAGTGTATTTCTGTGATCATGACAATTTCTGTGTCCGTGACACTAACTTGTTGACCACGTTTCTAATCCAAAAAGTCAATTAAAGATACCTATAAAGTCAAAGAAACATTTATTAAGCTTTTAAGAAGCATCCATATAAAATATTATAGAATTAACTTAATTTTATCTACTTTTACTTACTTCTATTTATTTATACATATAATTACTGGCTTACATGCATATGTCCTTGACATTACCTCCCCTCCTTTCTAGGGGTGAGTTCCACGAGGAGCGGGCATCATATGTTGAGGAAATGTATGATACGACAAATTATATTCGCCACATACTCTAATCTTTGTTCTTTTCAAAGATGATTGTTAGGGCCTCTCAACCATCAATAATCTCCCATACTAAGGCGGGAAGACCACCCTGTTATTTGATCATTATTGAAGCCTTTATAACTTCCTTCAAATAAAATATTTAGAACATCGATAGGAGTTATTCTTACCTCTAGTAAAATCACCAAACATTGAGAGTCTCTTCTAAGGTCGTGATATCAAACGCATTGTATCTTGCCATCATGTCGATCTTGAAGATCTTCATCTCACTTGCATCATCTTGAAGGTTGTGACAATCATAATGTCTCATTTGGCAGGTCAGCAAACGAAGGCTCTTGAGTCAAATCCGTTGGTTGTTAGTTCTCTATCTCTTCAGCGTCACAATTACAAAGAAGCTACAAATAAAAATTGAAAGTAGAATGTTATCTTGCCTAGATCTTGTTTCTTTTATAAGGAAGGTTTTTATTTTAATTTTGATGGATGTCGTTGATGAAAAGCCTCCATTGCCTTTTTAGCATTTACAAGATTATTCACTGGCTTCCATGTGCGTTTACTAATATCATATCCATGCTAATGGATAAGATATTCTAATTTATTTTTGCATCACCTTGAATCTACGACTTTTTCCACTTCAAACTCTTCATTATTTTCCACTTCTATAGGAGGGGGTGGAGCTTATCTTCTTCTTGGTATGTCTAATGTCTTCTATGGTTCAAAAAGAGATACATGATATACTGAATAGATTTTCATTGACTCCTCTAGGTTTAAATGATATGCAACTGGATTGATTTGTGTAGAAATAGAAAATGGTCCAAGCCTTCAATAATCCAACTTATCAAAAGGACAAGTGGTCTAGATATTGTGACGAAGTAACCATATCTTGTCACCCATGAAGAATGGTAGTTATTCCTTTTGATAGACATTCATATTGACCTTTTGTTGTTCTTGAGCTTCTTTTAATTGCACCTTCATTGTTCCATATAGCTCTGACAAATGAATTGTCAAATCTTTTGTCAAAGGATTATCAACTTTTGAAAAGTCAAAAGTATCAAGTTACAGATGATAACCATAATTGGCAAAGAAAGGCATTTATTTTATAGAAGAATGTACCGTGTTATTGTAAGCAAATTCTGCTAATGGTAAAAGAGTTATCCAATCATCTTATTGGTAGTTGATGGTACATCTTAAATACTGCTCCAAAACTTAATTAATATGCTCCATTTTTCCATCAGTTTGAGGATGGAATGTCGAAGATAGTATTATATCCACTTTTAGAATCTTAAAAAGAGTCCGCCAAAATCTTGATATAAATTGAGTTCTCCTATTTGATATATCCTTGGATAATACATGATAGCGATAGATATTATCAAGAAAGAGGTTAGTTGTTTCTTCACATGTGATGGATTTTGTACATAGTACAAAATATGCCATCTTGGTAAAATGAACTACTATCATGAATATAGAGTCATAAGAACCTGAGATTGGAAGATCTGTGATGAAATCCATAGAAACAGAAGACTATGGTTGTTTTGAAATGGATAATAGCTGAAGAAGTCCGTAAGGTCGATGACGAGGAGTTTTTGAACTTGAGCAAACATCACAAGATTATACAAAATCTTTGACTGCTTTTCACATTTGTAGCCACCAAAAGTCCTTGGATATTAGTTCCAAAGTTTTATTCTATCCAAAATGTCTTGCTGGTGGAAAGTTATGACGAGCTACAAGAACACGTAATCGAACTTCACCTTTTGGAACATGTAGGCATCATTCGAAATATAGT